ATTTAAATTTTTATATATTTTTTTTTTTTTTTTTTTTTTTTTTTTCTAAATATAATGCAATGTCAAAAGTTAACACAAATGCACTTGGTTTGGAAATGAACACTACATGCGACTCGTCCAAAAAAGAAAAAGAAAAGTTGTGGGCGGAAAAATATCTGTTAATCTCACTCCTAATTGTTTTACGGAACTTTATTCGGTACCCTGACATATTAATATGTTATATTTTTCTAACAATCATATTTTTTAACTTTGGTTAATTAAATCTGTATAAAATAAAATAAAATGTGCATATTTAATAGTAAAAAAAATTTAGAAGATGTTTAGTTCATGAATTAGAATCATGATATTAAAATTATTTTTAATTTACGTGTATTTTTTATGAGAAAATATTATAACGAATTATGAATCATGATTTAAATTATGGTATAAATCTCCTTACTAAACATCTCCTTAATCTATTAATACATCAAATATACTAAAAAATCTCTTTTATTTTATTTTATTTTAAGTGAAAATATATGAGCAATGCTGCAATGAGTCCAAGAAGGCACTACCAATTTCAATGAAAACGATAAATTTATTAAAAAAGACTTGATTTTATTGCCATCGGCCACCAAACTCCACACCAAGATCTAGCAATTGACGTGATTGACCAATGCTCTTAGCATCCACGTCACTCAAAAGTTAAATCAGGACAAAACCCAAAAATAAATAAATAATAATAATAATAATAATAATAAAAAGAATCCACAATATATGCAGACACACAAACACAGAATTCACACCAAACCACATTTAGATTACACCATTGGTATTAGCCCTCCGGATCGCCTTTCTTGCTAAGTTGGTCTTAGTTCAAATACTAGAGTCTCCCAAAATACTACTATTCAAAATCATGCATTTTGACCTGCACTCTTATAATAATTGTCAAAAATCAAAGAATCAGCTTTATGACACTTCTTCTGGATAACATACCGAGTACTGCCAAAATGTTCTTGGCTGCCGTATACAAATTCTCTTTCGAAATGGTTCTTACAATTTCATGCGGTTTCACAAAAACAATGGTATAATAATATACTACAAAAGAATTCAAGTTACTTGGACCCACACGTCCGCTTTGAAAGTGGTAACCGAGCAGTTAACTTTGCTGCTGCACCTGCATCTAGATTGCTGCTGCACCTGCATCTAGATTGCTGCAGCAACAGGCAGTTCTGAAGCAACAGGGATCCAGCTCTGCTGCAGCAGGATTGCAGTAAAAGACAGTTCTTGAATCTTGAGCAACCAAAGAATCTTCTGCATCTTTTCTGCAACTATGTGAACGAGAATCTTGAGAAAAGAGAGTGAGAAGATCCCAAGGCGTCACTGGACGGGCTGGGAACAGCCTCTGCAGAAGTTCGATACGCTTGTTGACACTTCTGTATCTGCGTTGGCAAATGAACACTGTGATTAGCTTGACATAGGTGATAATCTATACGTTAAAACCAGGGGAAGCTTGGATCCTTCCAGAATGATCTGATTCTTAACGCTATTAGTTTTGTACGATGCAAATAAAACATAGAAGATTGACCTCCAAGCATGAACTGCATGCTCGTTCCATCATAATGCAGAACAGAATGATTACTGCAGCTAAAATAAGACATGCATATGCACAGGCGAAAAAAGAATTGCAGGGTTTAAGAATGTCACGTTCTTATGGCTTTTATACACTTGTAGAAAAGTCCCTCAGAATTTTTCTTCCACAATAAACAACATATTGTACCAGCAGATTTTTAAGATAAACCTTTCTGATCCCCGCATACTAGACGTGCATTGAAACTTTCATGCAAAAAACAATTGCATATTATAAGCAGTTACAGAAAGACCAAGTATTAGGATAGTAGATTTCACCTCTTCGGGACTAAATTGAAGAAGCATTCCAATCACAGGTAGTAGAGCTTCCACTTCACCTGTGTTCAGATAACAGCAAATATAAGTGTTTTTCATATCGCTAATGTCTCAATAGTTGAACACGAGAAGGAATTTTCATACAGATACCTGTTTCAAGAAGCTTTAAGATGACATTTTTCAAATATGTCATATCTACTCCTTCCCTCTTCTGTGTCCTGTCCATGTTGCGAAGCTCTTCCTTCAACATGGCTTCCTATAGTCATATGTTTGAAATAAATAAATAAATAAATAAAGACCAAGCAACATGGGCAAGCACCAAATAAATAAATAAAAGACATCTGCAGAAGTACAGGCTTAATATTACCTGTTGGCTGTGGAGGCGATTCTCACGTTCCAGCTCTTCAATTTCTTCCTGATATATTCATTAAAAAAAATTTGCTGAACTGAAACAAAACATCAGAAGTGGACAGCAGAAAGCTAATTGGTCTAGATTGGGGAACATACTTGAAGTGCTAGAATGTGTCGTTGTGACTGTGCAAGCTCCTCCTCTCTCTGGGCTTGTTGCCTTGCCAAAAGCTGAAATTTGTCGTATGAGTCAGCAAAAATATTTTAAGATTTAATTTATAAATGATGTGAAGATAACAAAATATCCTGGAAACAGGTACTGGGTCTTTAAAAGTCTCCTAAAATATCTCCAAGATGAAAGCGTAAACCATGTTGGACATAACTTGTGTTCAGATATGACAGAAACTCGTAGTCGTCCCCATTTCAATTGAATCCCTATCAGCTAATATTTTTCTAAATTCGATACAACAATAGTTTAAGAGAAATTAGCATACCAGAATCTGTTGTTCTGCAGCAGAGGTGCTCAAACCAGATGTATCCGGTTTCTGCGAGCCTAATCATACCAGTTTAATACAATATACATGTTAGAATCCAAAGTACCCCTACTTCTCAATATATGCTACTATTGTCTTAGACTAAGAAATGGAAAAGATGAAATGGCACTGAGACTGTCCTCATACCTGTGTTGTAATTGTCATTCTGATCAGCCTGAGATTGTTTTGTAAGGCCAAATGAAACAAATATTAGTCAGAAAATAAATAAATAAATAAATAAAGACCGAGTGAAAGATTCGGGATAATGCATAAAGGTTAGATGCACCGAGATCTAAAAAGTGAAAGACACCTACTTTTGGTCTTGATTCCAAAGATCGTTGAAGATTCTTATTATCGTCTAGAAGTCTAGAGATTTCATTGTCCTTTTCCCCAATCATCCTATCAGCAAGATCGCGAAATGAATTGTGCTCTTCCTACATATTAAGAAATCAGTTTAACAAAAGAATCCCAGAGAGGAACAAAAAAATGATGTCAACGCCATAAGGAGCATGATGCTAATTTAAGTACCTTCAATTTTTTATACTGTTGCTTGAGATCTCCTAATTCCTTCTCTAGCTCTTCACCAGAAGAAGCTTCATTTTGAACTTTCAGTGCATCATATCTTGCTGTAAAAGTTTTGTCATGTACAATTTTCTATAAAAATTTGACCTATGAGCAGTAGTTTCAAAGGAAAAGCTAGAGGAGAAAAAAGAACACAAGAAAGAGAGAGAATATTTACATTGCCACATTTCTTCTAAGTTACGAAGGTTCCTTTCCCATGCTTCTCTATCTGATTGATGGCGGGCATTAGCGGAATCAAGCTTTGCTTCTAAACCCTTGATCTGCTGCTTGAAAGCATTAAGAGCTGTTTCTCTATGACAAACATGGAATTGAAAGCTTCAAAATAATTGTTACACTTGACAAAATAATGTTAATATATTTCTTAAAAATTCGATAAAATGTTATTAAGAGCTTAAGCATTTCATGGAAAAAAGACTGGTAAAATCTGTTCAAGGTATACAAGGGACCTCTAAAAGAAAAGAATTTGTATTAGTGGAACTGAAATTAAATGAAAACTGATAATGAAACTTCTCATCAACAGTTTTACCTTTCTACAAGTTCTTTATCATGATTAGCTAGAACGTCCTGAAGATCTTGAAGTGCTCTGTCTCTTTCAGCACATGTTAATGATACTTCCTTTTCAGCCTCCTAAAGAATGAAACAAAATTGAGAAATAAAAGAGTTAGCATTTTCCCACGTCAACCCCATTTTTCTTTTCCTTCATAAAGAGAGAAAAATTAAGAGTTACACGAGCATGTACTTTAAGTGCTTCCTCAAGAGCTTTGACTTGCTCGGAGTCTTTAGCAGCAGCCAGCTCTGCATCCTTCTTTTGCAAAAGTGCATGGGCACGCACTTTATAAGAGGAAAATTCAGTTTCAAGGCGGTTGATCTGCAAGAAAACCAACTCAAGCAACTTCAGATTTAACACATGGCAGCAATAATTTTACGTGTAGCTAAGGAACATCTCGATTCTTGACTTGTGAATTTCTATCACGGAAACAGAAGCCATCAACAATGCCATGTTGATGCCAACTTGAAATCTTCTCTTGCCTATAGAATTACTATGTAATTCCAGTTAAATGCCAACTAGAAAAGGCTTGATTTTATCATTTTGCTGGACCATTGCGATGACTGTGTCACCCAAAATGCTGTACGTAGGCAGCTCCATTTTCAATATTATCTTTTCAAGAATCTTAAAAGAATCGCGAGTAAACAAGGAAGTTGGTTCAGCAAACAACGAAATGTAGTATCTTGATACCTCTTTTCTGGCAGCTGCTAGTTCAGCATCCTTCGCATTAAGCGCTTGGGTTTGTGAGGATACTTCTGATTCCAATTGGCCTGGCCAATGTAAATGCATGGTTTAGAATTATGCATACAATAAATCAGCAGATGATAACTATACCGGGGATAGAAGTATACTTCTCATTTTAGCTGCTTCGATTTCTGCACGTACACAGTTATTCTCAGCCATTTCCAATCTCGTTCTGAGTGCCTGAGATGTAGCTTTCCAGCTTTCCCTTTCTTTCTCCTGGAAGTACAAAATATCTCTTATGGCTTGAAAGCAAAGTAACTCTTCAAAAGGGTAGCATGTCCTTGACAAAGGAGGGCTAAACTTTACGTTAGGCAGATCAATAAATGACAGCCAATTTATATGTCTAGGACTTTTTAAGTATTAATTCAATTTCAAAGTACTCAGTTGATATCGTGAATAGGTAACTCAATATAACCCTTTCTGGAAAAAACCATAATTCAAGTTCCAAAAGCATAATGCAAGGATGATACTGAAATTAGTTTAAATGGCATGAAATACCCTTAAACTCAAACAGCCAATAATATAAATTAACAGTCAACGCAAAAATTTAGAGGGAATCAACCAACACATTGTGGTTTAATGGCAGTATAGAAGTCAAATCCATACGTGTTCATCTTTCAAGTGAGCAATCTCTCCTCTGACAGTTTCCACAGCAGCTCTAAGTCGTGCTGCTTCACCCGTTGATGCTGCATCCATTTCTGCAATCTTTGATTCCTTCTCGGCAACCAGCATCTGGAAAAAAGTTTCCCTAGCGTTGAAGATCATCTACTATTGAAAAAGTTTGAAAATAATCTAGAACGATCAAGCATAAAAAAGTGCGTGCATTGAAAATTTATAAATGAGCAAAATCATAAAATAAAAGAAACAAACCAGTAATCCACATTTGTTTATGATTTCTCACTTTTTAAGACATAAAATCAAGACCTCAAATGCCATATAATAACAATTCCCACCTGAAGTGAAGAAATAGTTTCAGTTGCTTTAGTTCGGTCTGACAGTGCATCAGCCAGTTGGGCTTCCAAGCTTTCCAAGTTCTGAAGGAAACAGAGACAAAGCATGGATAAGGCATGATTCTTGCTGAAATCAACGAAGGAAGAAGGAAAAAGAAAAGAAAAGGTCTTGTATTTAACAATAAAAAACCATATTTTTGGTGAGTGTCAAAAGTGAACCTTCTGATGTTTAGCAGAGATTTCGGCTATTGAAGCTTGTCGTTTTTCTTCAGCAGCCTGTAGCGACCCCCCCAAGTCTTCCAACATCTGAGATGAATGGAAGTTAATCCACACAAAAAATAATAATTATAATAAACAGATATATAAATAAATAAACCTCAAGATATATTTGAATATTTTGCTACATGGTTAAAAATTTTAAAGATAAAAGCCACAGAATGTAAAATAAAAAACTTGGAAACAAAGATAGCAAATAGTAATCATGACAGTTTAAGACTAATAAGCAATTTACTATTTTAGGATACTTAAATGAAAAATTTGTACACATAATAAGTGCCAATTCTCAATGAGTTTCCGAGTTCTTATATTACTGTTTCACCTTAGGACTTTTAAACATAATGATCTGGAGGTAGATAATGCATAGATTAACTAAAACCTGGAAAATAAGACGCCTTAAGAATTGTGTTCTAAAGTAGTCGAAGAGGATAATTAGAGTGTCTCTAGTTTCGTACGGCACATTGAAATTGGAATATCAACAAAGCATATGAAAACATCCAGAGACAGAAAGAAATATATGAAATGTTTATCTACGGTAGATACATGAGATCATGCAACTGCGGTTCAAATTCTTGGCAAAAGTTTTGAGAAGCACAGTTTCAGGTTCTTCAACATAAGCATAGGGACTCCTACCTGATCCTTCTCCAGGAGTGATTGCTGCAATGCCGCGATAGTGCTCTCTTTAGGTTGTAATGAATGTCGTAGTTCCTCAATATTGTCCCGGAGTCTGAGCAACAGCATCATGATAAATGGAAAATAAATGAGAAAGGCAAGAATGGAATTTAACGGTTGTCAGGTTACTAATTCTCCCAAAAGCTAAATTATTAGGCCAATATTAATTTCTATGCATGAAGGCATAGAGAAATAGCACAGATCTAAGATGTGTGAAAAAAATCAGCTGAACAAGAGATTTACTTATTGTTTGCGCTTCTTAATTGCTGTCGCTCTGCATCCATTGCTTTCAATGCTTCATTTGCTTGTTGCCGGGTCCGTTCCAGATCTTGCTGTAATACTGATTGTTGGGACAATGCTCGCTCAGCAGATTCATTTACCTCACGTAATCGTGCCTCGAGATCGTCTTTCTCCTGGAAATTACAATCTCCAAATGATGTCCAAATTTAGTTTATGCATAGAGACGGGCGATAAACTTTTGCAAAAATGTATTTGTGATTCACAGGTTAAGTCATATAAGGTCATCAAGACATCATTTATCAAGATAGCATGATATGCTGCAGAGAAATTTCTTCCATAACAAGCTGATGAAAAATGTTTGCAGCGTCAATTTACCTTTTGAACATCTTGAATGCGTTGTTTGGCTCTTTTATGAAGACGGTTAAATTTCGAGTCAAGCTCAGAGTACTTCTCCTCACGTTCTTTTATTTCTTGATCTAGCTTCTGCTGAGCTATGAGAATGAAACAATGCAATATATTCAGACTAAAAAAGAAGGGCAAAAACCTTCGCTATAAGATACATCTCTTTTTATAAGCTTCAATGATTTTGCTAAACAACCAACAACCAAGTTCTTATTTCTCTCTTACAACTTTACAAGGCAGAACAACTCTGACTCAAATCATCCATAAAATTTGATTTTTTTTTATTCTTTCAAAAATTATACTTGTAAATGTTATACAGAACAAATTTGCAAATGTATATGTGATGCCATAACTTTCACAAAGGTAATGTACATAAGAATAGACTCAAACAAAAATCTGACCTTCAATAAGCTTCACAGAGAGCTCCTGGGCCTTCGCATCAGCCTCCGAATGCGCCACTTGAAGATGCTTCAAGGCCTCCTCGGTCGCGACCCGCATGTGCTTTTCTTCCAAAAGCTGTTTCTTTAATGATTCCACCGTCTCCCGAAGCTCCCTGACACCCTCTTCATCCACATTTCCCTTCACATTCTCATCGGATACGCGATCCACGGCCTGGAAATTCTTAAAGCCTTCAAATTGAGACTTCAAGTACTCATTCTGAAACCTCAGTTCAATAACCGTTTGGAGAAGCTGATCATCACCGTCCGTCTGAGATAGGCCGCCATCGGAAACTCCATTTTCCGCGGCAATGCGTCCGTTGTTGGAGCCAGACAACTGTTTATCTTTATCAGGTGTAATAGTATCTTCCATTTGAGTTTCTAGGATTTCACCAATACTGTCCATTGATCAAAACTAAAAGTACCCACTTGACTAAATTTCCAAACTCAAGCGATTATATGCTGCATATATATACACACACAACATTAGTGAAGTACTAAAGCTAAATTCACAAGTCAGTAAGAAAATTTGAAGCTTGCCCAGTTGAAAAGAAAGGTTGAAGACAAGAATTTTCCTATTTCCCAATGGAAAATTGAAATAAACATCTAACCCCAATATACAAATATCTTTTTCATTCAAAGACACAGCCATTAAGAAAACAAAATTGGATGAATCTTGGTTGAAGGAGAATCAAGACAAGTTCGGAATTGGAATCGATCAGATCCCAACTTCCTTTTTTTTTTTTTTTTTTTGGTCATGGTGTTTACCTTTGAGCGAGGAAAAAGAAAGATGAATTAGACAACCATAGCAGCTTTTCGATTCAACTTAAAAAAAAAAAAAGCTGAAGAATGAAGAAGATGGTGGCCTTCCATTCGAGATCTCAAAAGCGGAACCCAGAAAACGACGTCGTTCCAAGTCACGACGGACGGTCCTCTGTAATTCTGTTGCTCAATTCAATTCATTGCCAACTTAACTTAACAGCCGGAGACGGACTTTTTTTTGGATTTCTATAGGAGTGGCTTGATAATTTTGTTGCTCGATTCTACATAGTTTTCTACTTCTAACGCCCAATATTCACTGTCGTTTGAATAAAAAAGAATTATACTTGCTGTCGTTTATGGTGCACTTTTAAAACGACATTATTTCACTGTTGTTTCTGAACTATGCTGTTGTTTATGGTGTTGTGGAACACTGTCGTTTAACATTCCCCAGTGTCGCAACTCTTGGATTAATCTATATCGAGGATGAAAATAATTTCCTTGATACATATAAAATACCGAAACTGCCAATGACAGCATCCTAATAATTCACAATAGCTAACCGATGACCGACGGTATACTGATATGAAACTGAAGGTAGTCTGCCGCAATACCATTCCAGCCACCAACGTCAGCCTCCAAAAATGCCAGTAACAGTGGCATCCTACTGGTTTTAAGAGATCCAAAAGCCATCCCTAGTAGAGTAATTTTAGATTGGAATAGAGCAATGGTTCACTACTTTGATTGATTGTTTGTTGTGTGATCGTACTTCATCAAACATTACATTTATATTCCATCAACAGTACTTTTTGTCTTACCCAGATGCCAAAAAACGTGGCTCCGAGGAATACTTTGTTTAAATTAAAAAAAAAAAAAAAAAAAAACAACTTTTTTGGAAGTGGGAGAATTCAAATTCTAAACCATTGCTTTAATTTTACAATTATGTTGACGATGTCGTAACAGTAAAAATTAGGAGAAGCTCAGATTAACGTTCCGGTGCTGAAAATGATAATAAGGAATTAACTTAAAATGGCCACTGATTATTTTTTTCTAAAACAATAGTGACAACAAACACATCATTTCCCTTTCCCCCATGCATTTCCTCCTTTTGACCACCCATTAACGGTCTATAACTATAAAGGATGCATTGCAACATTTAGGGGGGGGAAAAAAAAAAAAAAAAAAAAAAAAAAAAAGAAAAAAAAAAAAAAGAAAAAAAAAAAAAAAAAAAAAAAAAAAAAAGGAAGAAAAAAAGAAGGATGTCCAGGTCTGCCAGCATCTCTCAACTGCCTCCGTTTTGAGCTCCTGAAAAGTGCTATTCTCAATATATTGTTGAGTTGATAGAGTTGACTTCCTCAGACTAATGGACATCATGAGATAGAAGGCAATAAAAAACAGCCATTTCCAATATTTTCCTACTTAGAACAGGTTCTTCGTATCAAATAAACCGAAAAAACGGTCTAGAGTTGCTAACCCGCAGATCTAACATTTCTATAGCTATCTGCCGCATTTTTGAAAAACCCTTTGGTAGCATCTGTACAAATAATAACAAGTGTCGCATAAGATATCACTAAACCGAAAAGTAGATGATTATGCATGAAATTTTTGTTTCGGGGGAGGACATACCATGCTTCATGGTTAAAGAGGGGTCTCGCTCGTCTACAAATCCAATCATCTTTGCAGGTATTCCCGCTACCATGCTATGGAGAGTGAAAAAAAAAAAATCAGTTCGATAACATTATAAAGCCAGGAACGTACTTAATATGCTAATACGGATAGGTATAATGTTCACCTGTGAGGAGGAACATCCTTCAACACTAGGGAACCAGCGGCTATCATGGCTCCATGACCTATCTTTATGTTTCCAAGCACAGTCACGCTGGCTCCAATAAGGACACCGTCTCCAACTTTTGGATGGCGATCCCCAATTTCTTTCCCAGTTCCCCCCAAAGTCACCGCCTATTGAACAGTTTTTCGTGATGAGAATTGTGAACTAGAATCAAAGCTCATTTCAGAGAAAAAAGAGAGGGGGGGGGGGGAAGGAAAACTAAAACGACAATAGTAACTAAACAGAATGCACGAAGCCCCAATCATATGTGCCACAGTTTAATCTATAGAGCCTGTCATACAAATCATTAGTGATAACTGACATGAATATAACAAAGCCTTCTGAGTATCTGATCTCAGCTATTGAGGTTTATGGATCCTTTTCTACCATTAAAGCTTCTATACCCTCAAAGAAGAAAGAGGTTTGTATGAAATGATGATTTCAGTAAATCTGCCTCCTTTTGATACGGGATCAAACAGGCTTTTGATAAAAGTAAAAGGCAAAAGGGTTCATTTTATGATTCATTCCAATTTAAAAAGTAACAACTCAAATGAACAGCCCTGAGGAGGGGAATCGAAAAGGGTGTTTGATTTCAACAAGCACGTGGTTGCTCGACATGAAGAATGACCACACCAGAAAAAGGAATGGTAAAGAAATTGGCTTACATGCATCAATGAAACTCTATTGCCCACAACCGCAGTTTCTCCAATAACAACCCCAGTCCCGTGATCCAATAGTATCCCCTCGCCAATTCGTGCAGCTATAGAGATGAAAGCGAAGGAGGGAAAATGAAAAATGAAGTTATTAAATCTGGTTTAAGAAAAATGTATATTTCTTTATGGTTAAAAGAATTCACTTCCGTTTTAGGATGTTCGGGAATTGCAAAAGTCAAATGAAGTACCTGGGTGTATGTCAACTCCAAAAACCTGGAAAAAAGTAGCTTGAAAGTTAGGAACAGAAAAAAGAATGCACAATTCAAAAGTAGATAACTTTGATCATACAAGCAAAGTACCTCGCTCATTCGGCTTTGTAGTGCCAATGCCAATACTTTTCGACCTTGATTCCACAAGGTGTGAGCTACTCGGTATACTTGCAGAGAATGGTATCCCTGTAAAACTACAGCTTGCGTTACAAAAACGATTGATAAGCTCAAAATGTTTAAGCATAAAGTAAATACAACTAAAACACAATCAGAAGTCATCAATCAACAATGTGAAAGATGCCAGCAAAAAGATATCACCGGTTGAAACAATCCAAATAGACATCAAATATTGAAATTTTCTTTTCATCCAAACTTTCATTGTATAAGGAAAAGGAATAAATCGTCATTAATTATGCAATCACAGCAGATGTGAAAACATATCAGAAATGCCTCATAGCAGTGTTGGACCTGACTGCCGTACTTTTTTGCTGCGTGATGCTTCTCTTATGTTGTCACACGGGTGATGATAAATAACAACACAAAAAGTGGCAAAGCAGAGCAAGAGTACCTTGAGGTACAACAGGGCCGAGCAGTACGACAAACAAGCTGGATCCCGATCCTTAAGCGCCTGCGAAGCGAAGATTAAAAGTTGTTCACACTATTAGCACAACAATACAATGAAATTTTGATACTCTTCGGAAGGCCACTGAAGTTAGTAACCTGCACATCTAGGCGAATGGAACGTTGAATATCGGAATCATGAATCATAACATCATAAAAAATGTCCATCAATTGAGTAGCTAAGAGAGTAGGATTTTGGAGTCTGTTTGCAAGAACAAAACCCAAGGCTTGCTCTAAACAATCATGGGCAAGTATACTTGCGTACAAGAAGCTGCTTAAAATTGGTTCATTTTCTGCCTGCAAAAGAAATTATAATAAGTGACAACTTGTATAAGCGAAACTGTTCTATTAGTGTTAATCCACAAATAATATAAACAAGGAAAACAAAAAAAAGACAAAATTTAGCTGAAAATGGACTAGTGTTTATCTTTCCCATGAATTTCTTCGTTTAGGAGAAATCATAAAGGTCTCTCTTTTATAAGCAATAATTTAGGATATTTCTTTCCATGTTGCGGCAATAATTTGGGATATTTGCAGAAGTTTTTAATGAAGCAGTAAAGAAAAAAAGAAAAAAAAAACAAACAAAAGGCAAAGTTTAGCTGAAAAGAGACTAGTTTTTGTTATCGACCAAAGCTTACTCTTTTATAAATTCATGGAGATAATCAAAGAGAAGGTAATTTCAAGCCTTCACTTTTATTAATTAAAACAAAACCCCACGAAATTTTTAAAGTAAAAAAAAAAAAAAAAAAATTTGGGTTAGAACAAAAACACAATCTCATGTAAAATTAAGCTAGTTTAATTCGCTAATTAATTTTTGAAATATTTTACTTTAATAAATAAATTAAATGCGAGTGTTTTTCGAGAATAGTAAAATTTAAATTATAAATTCGAATGGTAAAATGAATGGGTTGAGGTTACGGAAAAAACATACCTCCAACTTGGCCTCATGTCTGACGGCGTCCCAGATCGGGTCGGAGTCGGATTCGGCGGCGGAGTCGTTGAGGGCAACCGGAAGGACCGGTTCCGAGGAAGAGTTGGGAACCCCCAAAGCGTAGACGGGGAAAACCTTCTCCAGCCGGTAGGAGGGGATTTGGCGCTTTACATCATCGTTTTCTCGGTCTCGGTCTTGGTCTTGTCGGAGAGATGAAGAAGAAGAGTGTTGTGAGAGCATTTTGGGTGGGAGTGGGACCCAGCTCTCGTCGCTCACACACGCCATAGCTGAAGCTTAAACTAAGCTTTAGCAAGTGTGAAGACGAGACGACCGCCACCACTAAACCGCTGCGTTTCGTTTGTCTGTATTTATAGTTTCGACAGGGGACCAGATACACACATGTCCCCTGATAACATAAAAAATGCTAAAAACACTTTTTTTTCGTAAACAGAGCCTGGTCAGTAAATCAGGTGTTGGTGGTTTGAATTAAAATTTAAGATCTTGTTATTTTTTATAATTTATAACAATTTAAATTTTATTATTACAGTATTTTTTTATAAAAATTTAAATTTAATTTTTTTATTATAATATTTTTTTTTCACATAAATTAAGTTATAAAATAAATATATTTTAAATTTTATGAGAAAAAATACTGAATTAAAATTAAGATAGTTTGAATTCAGTCCATCAAAAAGAACATTTTCATTATACGTCCGTGTAACACTTATTTTTATTCAAGTAGTAATACTTAACAATCTGTCGTCATATTAAATTATACTTGCTTCAATGCTATCTTGTCGAAATAAAACGTTCCGAAGCTAAACGAAAAATGTTACATCTACTATTACCGAATGGCGACCAAACTTAAAACAATACTTATATTTTCAATGCCTATATATTATACAATTCTTTTGGTATTAGTTTTACTTAAAACTAAATGTGTAATAAATTTGACGTTTAATTCATAAGATAATAACTTTTTTAAATATTAGAAAACTAAAACTAATCAAAAAATTAAAATTGGCCCTTAAAAAAATTAAAATTGAGTATAAACCCAAATGCGGAAAGAAATTAATAACGTTTGTGATTTGACCTTGTTATAGTTCAGTGTATAACTCTTTAAGAAAAATACTTTTATGTCGACAAGGATATATCACTATTGAACACGAATAGTGACCGGTCCTACTTAGTGGATGGAACCACTTGTTCTTTAAATTGTATAGCATTGACAAGGTGATTTTTTTTAATCTTGTAACAAAATTTTTCTATAATAAAAAAACTAGTGACTAATGTTGAGCGTATCAATTATATTGATGCAAACTGAGTTGTTATCTCCTTATTTTTTGATGTAATTTCTTGTAATTAACTAATATGATAGCTTTTTTCTTTTTTTAAAAGAAATATCACAGCTCTATACATGTCTATATTAAAAAAATTTAATGTGTGATTATTAAAAAATTAATCTAATAATAAATATACCGTTCTTACCGATAGAATAAAATAGTTTACTCCCAGTAAAGACTTCTTATAATACATTCATGTTTTGATCAAGACAAGATCTACATGTGTGATGGATTGATTCTGATTGTAACACTTTTGGAAAACGAATAAGAATATGGTCTTATCTGGTTCTACTCTTTTCAAATAAAGGTCAATAGCCAAAGAAAGCTTTGCCACTATCATTGCCCTCCGTCTATTTCTTTCCTCAATAATACATAATATTTCAATGTTGGAGAATTGAAGCATGAATATATTTGTAGGTGTGTGTTTTTTTAGCATATTATTATATGTGTAGATTGTCCCTTTAGTTGTTGGGATCAAAATTAACTTTATCAAATCAAGAAGAAAAAGAAGATGCGATTGATAGATTTAATAAGTAGAACCATGCTAATGGGGACTAACAAGTGGGTCCCAACCAACACATTCGATTTGATTGCTGAGTTTTATATTAAAAACAAGGTGCTTTGGACTTTTTTGGCCAAATGTTTATAGAGTGCGTTTGATTCAAAGATTCGTATCATAGTTTGAATCATGGTTCGTGACTTGTTATAGTATTTTTTCTTACAAAAAACACACGTAAATCAAGAATGGTTTGATTCTGAATTCTTCAATCAATACATAATTCGCATAAAATAAAAAATAAAAAAATATACAGAATTGATAAATTTAATAAGATTTTAATAAATATCTTATTGCTAAAGATGAAGTCTCCATGGAATATTCTTTTCATGCCCAATACAGAATCCTCATAAAAAGTGTGGAAAAAGGCATTGCCAAATAAAAAATAAGACTTTGTAGAGTGAAATGTAAGTGGTAATTATGTTTTATTTGGACTCGACGGTTGAAAAAACATTTGTCCACAAATGCAATGTGGTGCTTTTTTCTAAATATATATATATATACACATAAGTGGAGATTGGTCTTTATATCTCTTAGGTTCACTTTTTTACGGTCGTTGCTTAGCAGCCCTTTATTGATGGCGGCTCAACTAAGGGGTTAATTGAATTGGTCACCACTTTGGACATGGAGAGATTTTTTTTACGGATAATTATTTGAATTGGTATTCGTTTTATGATTGATTACAAGAATATCCCCTAAAACCCTAAATAAACCCTATATAAATCTTAAAAAACACTGAACACAATAAAAAGCCCTAAAAATGCTAAAACCCCTAAAGAAACCCTAAAAACCAGAAATAAACCGTACAAAAACCCTAACAACCCTAAAAAACCCTATATTCCCTTGATGCTGAACTTCGTTGCACAAATACGTGAAAATTACAATTTAATATGGTATAACTTGAATTTCTTTGTAAATTTCTTTGTAAATTTCTCTCATGCCAATAGTAAGATTTAAAAATTTCAATGTTAAAATGCTAGGTCACTCTCTTTAAGCTTTATGAGAATACCTAATTATTTAAATAATTAATACTTATGTGATTAAAGTATTGTCTAATGATAAATTCACACTTTTTTTAAAAAAAATTTGAGGTCAAGAATCTAATCCTCGCAATTCACAAAATAAATAACCAATAAATATTTTGTATTAGTTCATTTAAAAAGGGTTAATAATGATTGTGTTTTGAGTATTAATAAAAAAGAAAATAAATTAACACTCCAAGTTTGCCATAAGGACATTGAGCGTTGCTTTATGCGTGTTTGGTTATTTGACATTAACGGCCTTAGGTTACTTAAACCATGATTCTTATTCTCATGTGTGAAATTAAATTTTTTTTTAGTGATAAGAAAATATTGTAATAGAATCAATGATTTAAATTTAAATATATGAAACAAACATGTCCTAAAAATCTTGTCCTAAGCTAACACACATTAGTTGTCTAATTCTTAAATCACCTTGTAACCTAAAAAATCAAACTACATAATAAAAGGGTATTAGTGGTGACTAAGAGCATAAGCATACTATAGAATTAATATTAACAACATTGGTCTTTCCACTAGAAATGTTTTATTGGGATTCATCAATAATTGTTGTCCTTTGGCTGTACATTATAGAATATAGACTGGTACACAAAAGTATTCAAGGCCACTGTTGGCCTATAGTGTCCTCTATCCCTAAGGTGGAGTTGAAGATTGAATGTGGTCCATATTCAAGGCCAGAAACATTCGCAGTTGCTTTAATGTCAATCCCATTTGCTGCTAATCATTGTTCCTCAAAAGCATGATTCAGAGTTGTATTTCTTTAGAATATAAATATATTCAAAAACAAAAAAAAAAAGGAGGAGAAATGGCTTATAGTTACGATGGACGAGTACGACTACAATACAATTTTTTTAAATGTATATTTTTAATTAATATTTTTCAGTTTTTTTTTCTCAATACAATTTCTTTTTCTATTCAATCAATCATTTTTTTTCTTTTTTTAATACACTTATTTTTTTTTTCTTTTCTTTCTTCTTCTACACGTTCTCTTTTCTTTTATATTCCTTTTTTTTCTATCTTTCAATCAATCAATCAATTTTTTCAATCTAATATACTTTTTTTTCTTCCTTTTTTTAATTGTTTATGCGCTTCACTGCGTGAAAATGAAAAAAAAAAAATAGAAATAGAAATCCTAGGCTCAACCTGCAACATGGTACATGGGCTTGATATGTCACAAGTCACAAAACCCTTCAATCCTTCAACAGAGATGTGGCAGTTCAGCGACTTGGCTAGAGAAAGACTGCACGATGATGGAATGGCTGCACGGCAACATGAAATAGAACACGGCCCGATTGTTCAGTGGTTCTGTGAACAAGGGTCACAGCACGATTAGTGGCGTTGCAATTCAGATGCTTTTGGTCAGGTGTGGCGGAAATTTGTCTCGTTCGTTTCGCTGATTTGAGTTTAGAATTCGAATTTTGTTACAGTAAAAAGCTCTCACAAACAGTCACATTTAATTTTTTTGTTATAAAATCACATCTCAACTCGAATTCTAAACTCGAATCAGCGAAACGAACGAGATCAGTATTTGTGTAACGAACACTTTTTTTTTTTCATTTTTGTTCTCAAGCCCATAGGATTCAACGTCGGCTATGATACTATCTTGAAAATAAAGAATAAAAGGTACAAGGAAAAAAAGAACAAATGAATTTTTACATAATTTAATAATTTATCTACATCTATTTATCATATAATTTTATTCATTCAATCATTCTCATTGTGATGTTTTACGATGAGTATGTATATGACTATAAGTAGAGATATCTCTAAGAATATTCAATGAATTAAACTATCAATCAATCTCCTATAATTAATTCTTAGGATGTATTCACACCAAATTGACAACTATTCATACCTAATTGACAGATCCTAATCGACAACTATAAATCCCTAAAGATGGAAAGCAGATAATTACAATAAACAAAAATAACAAATCTCAACAGTATCATTTAGTCGATATGCTTTTTTTTTAATCGTTCAATAGCTAAAAGGTAAGATGTATATACCTTCCAAAATATTGGTATGTACAATAATTCTAGAAACAACGTATGGTTGTAACACTTGGTTAGAGTGATGTCCATCTGACATCACACTTTATTCTTTCTTTCCTTTGGTTCTTCAAACAAAGACAATTAAATAACATAGAAAACAACTAGAGACGTTAAAAGGCCCTGACACGGCATATGGTGGGCCTAGGCCGTGTCAGGGCTGGGTACGAGGAGAAACCCTCAGATTCAGCATTGACTCTCGGTCCTATTCTATGAGGGTCAGAGCCAGGTTTGGGCCCAAGTCCTTCACGGGCCGACCCTAACCCTTTTAATTTTTTTGGCAATATTAATTAAAAAAATATATCATATGTCCTTAAAAAATGTGATTTTATTGAATTAAGATAATATTAATAAATACACATAAATGATTGTCTCATTAAAAACCTTGCCAAGTAAAATCTGTGGGGAGATCGGGACAAAACCTTAGCGAAAGAAAAAAGAGTGCAGTATTCTAAAATGGTAAATTACACTGTTGAAGAATTGCCTCCAGAAGATTTTGCTATGTCTAAGTTTAAAAAGTATTCTTGAATTGAATAATCTGTATAGTGTTGTTTTCATCTTCTGGCATCTTCTCAGTCTTTAACGCACATTAGCCCCTCCAAGATATCCAGATACATTATGCTCCTTTTCTCGTCAAGAATTCGGCTGCTTGCTCTGATGCTACTGTTGACACTGGAGTTGTCAGAATGTCACGTGCTATTATGGACAGTGTTGGAAAACGATCGGTCTTGCTCATCCACCACTGTAAGATGTCCAATTTGTCGTCATCGATTACAAAATTTGATTCAAAATATTTAACTAGTTCGGTAGATGCTTATGTTGATGATGATCATGATGCTTTCTCCTTCTTCTTCAAGAAGCTCCACGATGAACCTTTAGGCCCCGATCTGCTTCTTGACGTTAAAATTCCATGTTCTTTTTTATCTGTTCTATATTTTGCTTTATACAAACCAAATAATTTTTATAACATTTTCCTAGCATCGACAATAGTTAGTTGTATATCAATATTTAAATTTTCTGCCGTAGCAGACATCAAAGATTCGGTCCCACCTAATCCGCATCTAGCATCTAAAATGGTTCCTAATGCATATAACATAGGACAACCGGCCCAATAACTTTTAAATTTAGTTTCCATTAGCTTAACTATGGTTCCAAAAAGTCCAGTATCCTTATAATAAGAAAATGTTTTCGAAATATTAAATAGTTAATGCAAAGCTAAATGTGCAGTAGGACAATAAACTCCAGAAAGTAATTCAGTAGTATTGTAGAAAACTTCTAAAAATTTAAAAAAAGTACTCACCAATCTGTATCGAAAATTAAATGCTCACCGTGCTTACTGTTCACGTATGTTGTGATGATCTGTTGATACGGAAGTACAGTCTTCAACATTAAGTACGTGGAGTTCTACCTATGTCTCACATTTGTTAAAAATTTTTTTTGGGCGCATTTGGCTATTCCTGCAATATTGTTAGAATTCTTGGAGCCTAATAAGGATAAAGATTCTCTAATATTTGTTAGATGAGAGGAAATATGTTCAATTCCTGCTTGTACTACTAAATTTATTATGTGACACGCACACCGTTGATGAAAAATTTCACCACCAAAAGGTGGTTTCAAATTAAGTTTAAACATGTTAATTGCATCCGTGTTAGCTGACGCATTATCAAAAGTAATAGTTAAAACTTTATCTTCTATCCCATAAAACCCACAAATTTCCATTATTGTTCCAAAAATAGCATTTGCATTATGAGAAAATGGACATAAATGAAAACCTATTATTCTATTTTGTAAAACCCATTCCTCATCAACATAATGCATCATGATGCATAAATATTCAGTTTTATTATACCCCTCCCAAAGATCAAAAGTACAAGATATAATAGCATTAAAAGACCTAAAATTATCAACTAGAGATTGTCTGATTGCATAAAACACTTTCATGCAATCAGAATGAGTTGTGTTTCTACTTACCCGTTTAAATTGCGGGTAGAAGGCCGACTGTATGAATTTTTCAAACACTGCATCATCTGTATAATATAGAGGTAATTCGGCATTAGCTAAAAATTTAGCTAGTGCCTCACGCGCACGTTGTGCATCGTATGTAAAATTTTACAACCCTTGTGATGTGAGTGATAGTGTTTGTTGGCGGGAGTCTACACTCCCACCTTGGTGCAACGGTATACATGTGATCCAATAGCTATCCAGATGACTAGTACCCCCACCATTTTTATTAGAAAAGTGTTTTTTACAATATTTACATACCGTACGAATTTTCATTTCACCTGTTTTTAGATTCGGTCGGGGCTCCTATGTGAAATGCTGCCATGCAGGAGCAGTTTGCGGTATTTTTTCCCTATTACGTTCTCCAACTTCCTCGTTGTGCACTAAAGCATTATCAACCGGAACAGTTTCCGGTGCAATGGGGTTGGAGTTGTGGGCCAACATTTCATCCTCGTAAAATGGCTCATCACCAAGCTCAGGGAGCATAGTGAAATTAGGAAAATTTGGTGCGGCCATTTTCTGAAAAAAAAAACAGAAACTAATGTTAATTCGTTCATTTATAAATAATAAACAATATAAATAAACTTGAGTAATACAATGTTATGTAACAAAATTGATAAGTAGAATACTTTTTTTTTCTGAGATTTCTTCAAATTGATTGAACTTTGTAAGTGAAAGAGCAAGAAAATGAGTAATCGAGAGAGAAAAGCTTAGAATCAATATCAAAGAGGCAAGATGAGAGATAGAATGAGAGTGAGATGAGAAGTTGAGAGTGAATTGTTGTGGTAAATGTTGTGTGGGATTTAGGAGTATTTATAGGAGATTTTTTGGAGGATTTTCGGCAAGTGTGTATGGCCCGTCACGGGCCGACCGTTGGGTACGTGATGGGCCCAATGGTCACTTGCTAGGCGTGCCTGGCGGGCTGTCTAGCGGGCCGAATACGAGCTTGGGGTGGGCTGAACAAGGGCCGATCCGCGCTTGGGCTGAATCAGGGCTTGGGTCGGGCCGCGGGCTTCAAGAGCTACAGCTGGGCTTGGGCTGCGAACTAAGAAGCCGTGGTCCAACCCTAGTCCATCTAACGTGCCGAGCCAGCACGGCCCGTAACAATACCGTCCTGGGCCGTGCTGATCTCGACACTATTACGGGCTGAACGGCCAGCCCATTTGACAACTCTAAAAACAACATATTAAGAAGCTCAACACTGGTACCATGTTTTGATGATAATATTATATAAGACAACTTCTTATTCTCTTCTTTCACATCAAAAGAAAATCCATTCTCATCAAGTTGATAATGCCATCATCTATACCTGGAAACATGCAATATTCAAGAATGCGTGTTTCATAGTAAATTGATACTTTTTTTTTCCTCTCACTTAAGTCAACAAAGTAAAATACAACAAAATAAAAACAAGAACTATGTTTGTTGACTCTTCTTCCAATGTCTCCCCTTATAATCCATGGAAAACCATTTTAAATTTTTTCTTCAAATTCTTTAACGGTTACCCATGCTCTCCTTAGAGAATAAGATTGTGTCTGGGCCACACGACCCATGGACATCTTGTGGGCCGATTGAAGAATTTACATCAAATGGCCTTTCTTCCAATGATAATTGAAGGGTAGTAAATAACCTAACGGGGAATAGGATAAGGGGAATCTTCATAGAGATTTGAGATTTCTATATGTTTCATACATTAAAATAAAAACTAACTCATGGTTGAAACACCCCTAAAAATGGTAACTAACCACAAACTAGCACCCTGGACATTAGATGATGATTTCCACCTGGTTGTTTTGTTCTTTATTGTTAGGTCGTGCTTTCAGCTTTTCTGAATTATGTCATTATAATTTTTTTGTGGCCTTGGTATTACATTTTTTTTATTTCAATTGATCATATATGTTTTATCGATTATACAGAATTTGTCAAAAAGCCAATTCTTAGTGTATCTATTTGAATGTCCATTTTAAAACTCAATAGTACTTTTTTTCCTCTTTTAGCTTTCCATTCGAATTTACTGATCGAATCAATTGCTTTTCGAAATCATGATTTTCCTCTAATTTGAGGTCATAACTCATATCGATTAAAACTTATGTTTGTATTGTCTTGGTCCCGTTTAGTTTGCCGATTCGAGTTTTTAATTCAAGTTGAGATGTGACTTTATGTGAGAGCTTTTTACTGTAACAAAAAGTTAAATATGACTGTTTCTAAGAGCTTTTTACTGTAATAAAACTCGAATCAGTAAAATGAACGGAACCTTAATTTGAAATATATTTTCCCTTTTTCTTTAACATATATATAATATTCGATTTGAGATAAAGCCTATTTGTGTGGTGGAAAAAGCTACCATATAATGATATAATTGATAGGAATGCATAGGAAAAGGAAGAGAATGAACAATAGCCCCTTGTCTTCGTAGGAAAAAGAAAAGAATTTGGGTCCCACACGTGAAATCTCTATCTCTTTTTTATTCTAATGATAATGATAATATCATATATTTTTACTAAAACACAAAAAAAAAAAAAAAAAATTAAGGGCACTACAGGTAATAAACATTATTAATATATAAAAAATAAACTTTACACATTACGAGACTCATATTTTATTAGTAAATGGTGCATATTGACTATTTTGTTTTCAGCATTGCTAAAAAAATACCAATATTATGGGAGAAAGAGAAAAATAGGCCAAGACCTGAAATACATTAAAATTAATAGGCCAATAGTTTACATAAGTTAATAAATAGGCCAAATTATTATTTTTGTCCATAACTTGTCTGGTTATGAACCATAACTTGACAAGTATTGTCCATTTTTATCCATAACTTGTCCGGTTATTAATTATAACTTGACAAATTTATCCATAATTTATCTGATTATGAACCATAACTTGACAAGTTATAACCTATTAATTTTTATAACTAAAAATTGACCTATATACTTTCTTAAAATTTTTATATTGACCTATTTTATACTATTTCTCTGCAATATTATTAAGCACCATACTTAACAATACTGGTATTTTGTAGTAATACTGAAAACAAAATAGTCAAATATCATATCAATACTGAGAGAATCGACGGTCCCATATAATTTTATAGTACGATCTGAAGTACCATAGGAAATCTCAACAGTACTGTGTGACATGTTCTCTCGATTTCTTCATTTCTTGTCACAAATACACAATTTACGAGGCTATGTAATTACGTATTACGTAGAGTAGCTAAAGTCAAACGTATGGTTCTCCTTGGTTGAATATACATACATAATAATGATAATGATCTTCCTTTTCCAAACTTTGGTTGGTTGGTTAGTACATTTCATTCCTTTATTATCTCTCTGCCACTATGAGGCAATATAGTTTCCTTATCAAAAGGTCATGGTCTCGCTTCACTTGTGCATTCAACCAAAATTTTCGCTTCTTCTCCGGCGGTTTCGACCCGCCGCCGGAGTCATGGAAATCGATGGAGGGGTTGATGCGGTGCCGGGCGAATCACGTGCCGTTGACTCCCGTAAGCTTCTTGGAGAGATCATCAAAGGCTTACAGAGACAACACATCACTTGTGCATGGCTCTTTGAAGTACACATGGGGACAGACTCACCAACGTTGTCTCAAGATTGCTTCTGCTTTGACTCACTTGGGAATTTCCAGAGGTGATGTGGTCAGTAATACTTGTACTACTTGATTCCTTTTTCTTCTACTTTGGTCTTCCGCTGAATAGTTTATTTTCTTTGCTTAATTGATTCTGTTTTTTTTCCCTCATGTTGTTTGGTGCAAATGAAAAAAAAAAAGGGCCGATTTGGAGACTTTTTTTTTTTTTTTTTGGGGATAGATTTTGAGAGTTATTACTTTACTTAAAATAAGTTCACCATATCACGTTTTGTTTGAATTTTCCTTTTTCTAAAAAAGTTCTGGTTTAATTACAATTATGAATGGACTAAAACTAGTGATGGGGTCAACTAGATTTTTTTTCTTCTCTTTCCATTCAATTTTAGAAAAAGGACTAGTAATTAATAACTAGTCTTGGTCTTGTTTGTGAATTTCCAGAGTTGATGTGGTCAATACTATTAGTACTTGCGTGAGTACAAATTACGAATAGACTAAAATTAATAATGGGTTCTACTAGTGTTTTCTTTATTTATTTTTATTTTATTTTATTCCACTCGATCAAAATTTAGATACAAAAAGTCACTGATCTTGATCTTGTTTGTGAATATGGTGTAAGTGAATGAAACACATATATTGGAGGAGCAATATTTCAGCCATGCCTTTTCTTTGCCTAATTATTTCCTGATTTATTTAATTTCGAAGATACAAATTGTGATCTGTATATCTCTACAAAATTAATCAGGTGGCTACGTTTTCCCATAATCTGCCAGAAATATATGAGCTCCATTTTGCAGTGCCAATGGCCGGAGCAGTTCTTTGCACACTAAACGCACGCCATGATTCAGCCATGGTCTCAACGCTTCTGAGACACTCTGAAGCCAAACTCATTTTTGTTGATCACCAACTACTCGAAATTGCTCTTGGAGCTCTAGATCTTCTCTCCCAATCAAGTACAGACATAACAACACCCCCGATTTTAGTCCTTCTCACCGATAATCCCGAAGCCTCGTCTCCTCCGACGTCCTTACCTTCAAACGAGTACGAGTACAAAGATCTTTTGAGCATCGGGACCGACAAGTTTGAAACGAGACCGCCGGACAGCGAGTGGGATCCGATCAGCATAAACTACACCTCAGGCAAGGCAGAGCAAGAAGTTATTGCATGAACATTGATACTTTTTATAAGATTAAAAAAATTTCATATTGTCTCTACTGAAAAAGTTCTCTGACTCCGTCACTGATTTCAGGTACAACCTCATGCCCGAAAGCTGTCGTCTACAGCCACCGTGGTGCCTACCTGAACAGCTTGGCCACAGTTTTGCTTCATGGGATGGGGCAGATGCCGGTGTACCTATGGACGGTTCCTATGTTTCACTGCAACGGTTGGTGCTTAACATGGGGCTCCGCGGCTCAAGGCGCCACCAACATATGCATTAGAAAGGTCTCTCCAAAGGCCATTTTCGACAACATATCCCTCCACAAAGTGACTCACATGGGGGGTGCTCCGACAGTAGTGAACTCCATCGTGAACTCCCCTGCCACCGATCGAAAACCGCTACCCCACAAGGTGGAGTTCCTGACAGGAGGCTCCCCGCCACCGCCCCAGGTACTCGCTAAGATGGAGGAGATGGGGTTTCGGATGAACCACGTTTACGGTCTCACAGAGACCTATGGTCCCGGGACTAATTGCGTGTGGAAGCCCGAGTGGGATTCTCTCCCGTTGGAAGAATGGTATAAGATAAAATCGAGGCAAGGGGTGCATCATCTAGGGTTAGACGACGTCGACGTTAAGGACCCGATGACATTGGAAAGCGTGCCACCCGACGGGAAAACTATTGGGGAGATCATGTATAGGGGAAACACTGTGATGAGTGGATACCTCAAGGACTTGAAGGCAACACAAGAGGCTTTCAAGGGTGGTTGGTTTAGGAGTGGAGATCTTGGTGTGAAACATCAAGACAATTACATACAAATCAAGGATAGAAAGAAGGATATAATAATTTCAGGAGGAGAAAATATAAGCACAATTGAGGTAGAGACTGTTTTGTATGGCCATGAGGCAGTTCTTGAGGCTGCGGTTGTGGCGAGGCCTGATGACCATTGGGGAGAGACGCCTTGTGCTTTTGTGACATTAAAAGAGGGATTTCATCATCATGTTAGCGGTGAGGACATAATTAGATTTTGTAGGGATCGTTTGCCACATTATATGGCTCCTAAGAGTGTCGTTTTTGGGGAATTACCAAAAACTTCCACAGGGAAAATTCAAAAGTTTATTTTGAGGAAAAGAGCAAAAGCCATGGGGAGCCTTTCTTGAACTTGTATGGAGATCATCAAGTTTAACTAGTGTGGTAGGTATCCTGTTGCCATAGATTTGTTCCTTTATTTAAGTGTAATTCCTCTGAAAATAAACACACCAAAGTACCAAAGTGTGCATTTGTTGCAATAGATTCAATCATTCTCAATTTCTTTTGTCCGCCTTTTATTTATTTATTTATTTATTTTTCAATCTCACAGGACCCAATTGAAAGATATAGATAGTTCCATTATTTAAAATTTGTAAGATTTGTTATCCTATTTGCTTTTGTGAAATAGGTTCACCTTCCTCACTTGGTTCTCAACTCTCCCTCACTAGTTAGGCTTCAATCTCATTTCAACCAAGGTAGAATGAGAGAAGGAATGAAATCTTCTTCTCTTCGTTCTCAGATCTCCCTCATCATCTAGGCTCCGACCTCGTCTCGGTCGAGGTAGAGCCAGTAGAGAAGGAATGTAGTAAGTTTTTCATAGCGGTACAACAATTTATATGTCTGATTTTTTTTTTAATTTTTTAATTTTAATTATAATAACTCATAGAAAGATGGAGAAAATTTGCAAATAAGCCTTTTTATTGCAGTCCTCTACATGAAAGTTAGATAAAAAGATCTTTAGTACAATCCTACACTTTGTGGACTTATTACTTGGAGGTTATTATATATCTCTAGCGATCATGATCAAGTGGTGGGACGTGCAGGGTAATCTTGGAGATTAAGTCTAATGATGTAGGGATAAGCAATTGAGCCACAATAGAGATGATTTCCAATCTTGGCACCACTAGAGATCAGTGACAAGGCAGGATCATAGTAGTGGAAAACAGGCTTCCCTTCTAAATCAACAGCAAAAACACCGCCATTCTTCTCCATGTGTGGTCGACCTATGTGCCTTACTATGATTGCTATTGCCTTTCGAATGAAAGGAAATTTCTGTGCCAAATTCCAAGACCAGGTAGCTTCCTGCAATAATGCAGTTTCGAAACGTCAAAATATGACACGAGAATTGTATCAGAGTTAAAAAGCTATATCAAGTTTAACGGAACCTGATGAAAATTTCACATGAGTTCATAGTTGCATAGCATCAATAAAGTTCCTTTTTTTTTTCTCTCTTTCTTTTGACAGTGTGATTAAAATTTTCTTTCAAAGAAAAGTAATATAATCCCTCAAACAAATAATTGTACATACCGTAGACAATGCAATCCAATAGAGGCCTTCCCCGTCATAGCGGATATTGTCAGGCATGCCTGGTAATCGTTCGATAAAGGGATCCACGCTACCTTTTCGCTCTCCTTTCAGATGATATTTTCTACACCTTCTCCTGTAGCATTATCAATGCAAACGAAATCTACCAATGTTAGATAACACAAATATGAAGAGTAATATTTCTCGCTATGCAATTGTTATTATTTGTTTATTTATTTATTTATTTATTCACGTGTTAGTTTTATTCTGTCGTCACATGAACAGTGATACATCACCAATTAAAGATGAAAATCAATATTTTGGTTCCCAACAGTTCAAATCAGGCTAGATATCATCATTTAAACATGTCACAGAGATTATAAAGGAAAAAAAAAAAAGAGAATTGTTGGGTTGAATCCTGAGTGAGCCCCACCGACGGGTTCGACAGGGTGGGGCCCAGCCAGCATGAAAGGCTCGATCAGGTTCAACCCCCATCTTGCAATTAGGGATCAAGAAATTACAACGTACATAACAGTCTCACAGAAGATGACGGAAGACTGATCGGGTGAAACCGCAACTCCATTGGCAAAGTAGAGGCCACGCACGAGCACTTTGGTCTGCTTGGTGGAGGGGTCATAGCTCAGCAATCTGCCGTGGGGCTTACCCTCCAAGATGTCCCATATGAAGTCTTTCAAATGGTATTTGTGTGAAGCATCTGTGAAGTAAATCGTGCCATCTTTTGCTATGTCCACTCCATCTGTCAACTTGAATTTTAGACCCTCCGCTTCATCACTCAGCACTTCTATAACCCCGTCTTCACTTATGCTCAACAACCCCTGATGAATTATTGTGCCACACAAATATTATGTCGCTTCTTCATAAACCATATATACACAAAAAAATTTTAACTTTTTTATTTTTTATTTTTTGTTTTCCGTTTTGGTAACAAATAAGGACAACTCTAAACTCTTTGTGGTAAGACATACCATATCATAAGATATAAAAAGGTAAATAAAGTACACAAAATTTTAGTGGAGATCAACGTAAAAAAACCTTACTTTTGACAAAATTGGATCGAATGTAAGGTCTGAAAAGACCCTTTAACGTACATGATCAAAATACTTTAAGTTCGACTAATCTAGTCAGCGTTGTGGTTAAATTGGTCTTTTAAGTTCCACTAAATTTTGTCAAAAGGAGAGGGTCTTGAGATGAAATTAAAAACACCGAAATGATTATTGTATTTTTTAAAATATGATAAATATTAAAATATAAAATTATTATTGATCCACTTTTCAATAGTTTAAACTTAACGTGACATTTTGATAAAACATCAAGTTGAGGAACTTATCTCATAATTTTCCCTATAAGATTAAAAGTCAGGTCGTGGTATTCCGTGTAAACTGTAAAGCAGAAATTTCCTCTTTTTTACTTTTTTTTTATTTCAGTATTACACTATATATATATATATATATATATATATAAATATATGTATTTTCTTTTTTCCCTTTACCACACTAAATTAAGATAGGTTGACCGAGGCAAAATAAATGTCACATGGCTTTCCCACTACCCAAAAACAAACAAACAGAAGATCAATACAGCATATATATATATATATATATATGGACAATCAACTCCCTAAAATATCATTGTAATTTCAAATATCTCTATTAATAACTCCAAAGAAATCCAACTGGGATAGTGTTTTGTTTTTTTTTTGACACACATCTTTAGTTTTCATTTTCATCCGTAGGAAAAATCCAATCAAATTAAGTTGAAATAGGTGGAAGTGAGATCATAGTGCGTAATTAATAATTAATTAATCAATTATTAAATATGCTTCGAGGGGACACATGGTTCCACCACTAATTGAATTTGCTGTTGCATTGTATAATTTAATTAAATTAATAGAATATTAACAAATATAATCAGTGGAGATGATTGCTAATATCATTGATTCTTACTTAGCCATGAAATCAGGTGATCATCATAATTAATCCTAAAAGTACTTATACGTGTCAATTTCTAATTGGTTTAAAAAATTAATCAAATTACCTTTTCTGCATCAGCAACAAGAAGTTTATGATTGGCATGGTCAACGGCCAGGCCGAGCGGTCTGCCTCCGGTGTTAATCCAGCTGTCGACCCCCGAGTCGTTCAACCTGACTCGCTTGACCCACCCGTCGACGCAGCCGGTGTAAATAACCCCCGATTGCGCATCATACGCCACGTCCTCCGCCGCCACTAGAGCCCCAACGCCGACGAGCTCCGACCCCCTAAGAAGGCGGTCGTTGCTCGCCGGCGCCCGCGCGACCGCTCCTATCAGTTCATGGACAGGCAAAGGAACCGGCTCAAACGGCTCAAGTTGATAGACAAGCAAAGCCAACACCACGGAAAAGATTGCTGAGAAGAGAAGGAAAGTACTGAAAGGCCACGAAGTCTTTGTCTCTGTCTTTTTGTCCGCCATTAGAGTTGGTTGGTGATGTGCTGAAGATAAGCTGATGAGCTTCAATAATTTAGTTCTTTCAAATTAGTACAAGCAAGATCAGAACAAGTAGTAATAGCTTTAACATATAATAAGACTTTGACTCTTTCTTTGTGTTTTACAAATGGGCCACGTATGTAGACTTACGCAAGTAACATTTATGTATATATTCAGCATGCATTAATGAGAGACTATCGTTCGGAAATAATATATATATATATACATATATTTATAGCTTCGAGGGCGACATTATTTTACTGACAGATGTTAGCTCTTACATATATCTGCTGTGCGAATTTCTATGAAAATAATTTTATGTTAATATTAACGTAAATTCCGTTAAAATCATAGCAGAATAAAATATAATTACATTAAGATAGTAAAATAGAAAAGAAAAGAAAAAGAGAATAGTCCTTACTAAAAGAATTCTCTTTTCAAGATGATAAAAGAAAAAGGGTGTCTTAAGATGAAATGTCAAGTAAATGTGATATTCTAACGTCTAAAGGGGGTCCAAACTCAAGAGGGTCTGATTTGGTATGTCAAAACCAAAAGACATCTAACGCGCAAAGAATTTAAGGTACACGATTAGACTTGAAAAAAAAAAAAAAAAAAACCGATGGCACACATTTTTAATTGATGAGAGAATGTAATATGTATACACAGAGTAAAGTAAATTCCAATCTAATTTAAACAATTTAAACTAAAAACTTATCTCCTAATCTAACTCAAACTAATAATTATAAAAAATAGTTCAAACCTTAAAGTAAATATAATTACTAATATAGCTAAACATAAAATAAATATCCTACTTATAGGATAAATACAGAGTAATTAAATCGTTTTCGCGTTTTGAAAACAATAACAAAAGATTACATTCCTAATAACACAAGCAATTAAGGATAGACAAGACAACGTTACTGAATGATGTAGACAACAAAAACAAGGAATTCACGCCAACAAATTAAAGAGAGATTTTCTGGTACGCTTGACATATCGGTAGATCAGATTTTTCTAACCGTTGAATCTGCGTATTTTTTGACTTTTACGTGATTTTATGCAGATCTGACGGGTATCAAATTTAACCTACCGATATGTTAGCGTACTGAAAAAGGTTCCCAAATTAAAACACAATTAAGATAGTAAAATAGAAAAGTAAAGAAAAAGAAAATAATTATTACCAAAAGAATTCTCTTTTCAAGATAAAAGAAAAGGATGTGTCTTAAGATGAAAGGTCAGTAAATGTGAGATTCTAATTCTTACTTAAAAGTAAAAAAGGGGTGGCCAAACTCAAGACTTCATATACCAAGACCAAAAGAAATTTGACGTATTAGCGGTTGTTTTGTTGTTTCTACACTGAAAGGTCCTCTTCTGTTGATTCATCAAATCGTTATCGCGTTTTGAAAATAACAAAAGATAAGTTCTTAATAGCACAACTTAACACATGGAATTAATGATAGACAAGGCACATAACCAGAATGGCGTAGATAATAAATACAAGGAATTAGTCACGCCAATCAAAACACAATTAATAAGGACAACATCTTAATATATATCCAATCAAAGGGGGAAAAACACAATTATTATAATAAGGATAAATGAATTGTTTAATTTAAATAGCTTGTATTTAACTAGCAAAAAAAAAGTCTGTATTTAACTAGCAAAAAAAAGTCTGTATTTATTTTATAATTATTTAATTTAATTTATGTCTAGTATTCAGAAAGTAGATTAGCATTTATCTTATTATTATTATTATTATTATTATTATTATTATTATTATTATTTATTCTAGTTTATTCCTAGTATTTAAAGACTAAATTAATATTAGATTCGAATTCATACGTAACTATATATATTAAATTCTCATCAACAAAAAAAAAGAAAAAAAAAACTAGTACCATTATTCTTCAAAGACCAAATCTATTAACAACATAACAGTATATTTCAAGACGTTTTAATCACATTTTAAATCACAAGCATTGCATGTTTACAGAATTATAACAGTATATTTCAAGATGTTTCAATATTAGTCCCAACCGCAATTAATATGATTGCTTGTGAACTTGATTAAACATGTTATGTCTCCATCACAACTTATCAGCTTTTTGGATTGCTTAAAACTTAAAATAGGCGCAATAATGCAAAGTTTTTGCCTTTATTTTTGGGCGCGGATAGCAATAATGATGGAGATATAACATGTTTGATTAGGTCCGTGGTACCTCCACAAGAGAGCAGTACTGACCTTGTACTAGTTGCCTTATTAAGAGCATTTAAAACTAAGGACATGTTTGGCACAGATATGACGTTTAGCGAACTATATTGACTAGATAAGTAAGTGGACGTTTGATTTATAAATTTAGAATTATTTTTATTTTACGTGTATTTTTTGTGAAAGAAAAACACTATAAAAAATCATGAATTATGCTTCAGAATTATAGACGAATACAGAAAATAAATGTCTGCTAAGCCGTTGATGACAAAAAAGACAGTCTCCTATTTGTGCAATTAGCAACTCCTCAATAGAGGTGGTGTTATTCGTGTTGTTGGAAAAATCAATTGGCTACGCTACGGAGTTTTAAATTTTTGTTTAATTAATTGCTAGGAACAAACTCATGTTACTATGAATAATAAATTACATTTAAATAATTCGTACTTCTTGAACGTTTTTAAAAGATTCTCAACCAACTGACCTTTTATGTTATTCTCATTTCTGCAGATCGGTGTGTGTGAGCACAACTTAACAACTCCTCTTCCTACCACTAAAGAGCTATGGAAAATTAATTGCTAAAGGTAAACAATTAATATTCTCTTTCAAGTGCTCTCAAACAGTGTAAGAATAAATAAAGCCCCATGCCTCTATTTATATAACTTTTTTGAGGAGTCTGAAGACTATCAAGAATAGGAATTCTAGTCCAACTGAGATACCGAGAGATTTTCTTGTAGCTGGCACCATACAGTCTATTTTTAGACTGAAAATTTAGCTAAGTCAACCCGTGGAATTTGGCCAGTATTGATAATATGCTATAGTCCAATTTTGCATTATCCTACTAATTTTTTTTGAAAGAAAAACTTGTATTCAAACAGAAGCAAATAAACAAACAGCACAATACAAGACTAATGACTCGACAAAGAGACGGACGTACACTTGAGGCTTGAGAACAAAAGATAAACTCGCCACACTAAGATCGAGCACATTTAAAACTCTATTTAGAAAAATCCTCCCATCAAAATAAGCTTCTGAGCGCTGGTGGGACAAACACCAACCCCTCACTCAGAGGGGACATCAGCATCACGACACAAATAAGATTCTAACTTGACCAAACAATCCATACCGTCAGTGAACAACTCAACCGGATGGGAGACATAACCAACACGAGACGGTAGGAAAATCACCTTCGTTATTACAAAACAACAAACAAAAAGTGGTGACAACAACACCATCATACCTTTATTACAATCTAAAATACAAAGCAAAGCAAAAAGAAAACTCAAAGCATCGTTGGCACAAGCCTTCGACGACGACGCAGCCGGTGAGAGGCGGTGAAGCCGCTGAAAAGAGACTATCAAACGGCAGTGAATGATTCACATTCGCCACCGCCGCTAACCTCCGAAGATGGTACCACCCTTGCCAAGGGAAGCCCTCCATTGCCAAGACTGGACCTCTTTAAGGACCAAGCCACCCAACGTTAACAGTGTCAAAAAACGCCTCCCAAACGACTGGTTTCTAACTTCTAATTGAAGCTCAATATGCCTTAATGAAGCCACCACATGACACACTGACACCACCATTGAAGAGCCCTCGACAATACGAGTTCAGGGATTGATTTTCATGGTAGGGAGTTCAGCGACGTGCCCAAAGGTGGTGCCGGAACTCCGGCCAATACTCAAGCTTCTTTTCTCTCTCTTTTGTTCCTCATTGTCAAAAGACGATTAGGGTTTCTATTATCCTGATAATTTTAAATCACAAGATAAATCCTACTTTGCTTAAATAATATCATTTTGATAATTACCGAATTAAAAAAAATGTGACATAATTATCTATATATCAAATTTCAGTAGCGTTCAAACACATATGATCAATTATCTCAAATCTTAATTTAAATTGAATTATAATTATCCAGAATAGGATATTGATCAAAATTTAGTATTTAATAATTATTTTTACAATTCATTAATTAATTCTTCCTGATTGCCGTACTCTTTTGTTCCTTTCGTGTATCGGTTGTATTTCAAAATTAATCTAATCTGTTAATTATAATTTTCTGAGCTAGCACAAGATCCGATAGACATATATAATCAAATATTAATAATAACTGATAAATTAATCAAAAATTAATTTTTGATAATTGTATTTAATTTAATACAGTCTAGGATTATTTTTCCATACATCCGATATAACAACTTGCGAAGTACATGACATTAATCCCTCCCAGACCAGTCTTAATCCCAAAATCCTGTCCAATCCAATGTGTCAAACAGGGCCTAAATGTACCATAGTTGCCCATATACATCATATAGTAGAACTTGAAAGTTTGTTGGACATGGTATAAAAATCATTTGGGCATGATATAAAAATATAAGAGAGTTTTTTGGTGAGATTATATAGTAAACATTTCTTTGTCATGATTCTCTGCACCACTATCATCATTTTAGTGGAGTTTATGTGTCAAACAGTAAATGTAAAGAGTAACAGAAAGAGTAATGGTAGTATTTCTCTTTTGGCCACTAAATGATGGTTAAAACAATGAAGACTCTTGAAATTTAAGATGTTTTTTACTGCCAGATTTCACGGTATAAAAGCTATAAAAGTTTCAACGATATAGATTGCTTTTAACCACCGTCCATTCAATGAAATTTTGATATGCATGTACAACCAAAGAAATAGATTAACTATAATTCTCATCTTCCTATTAGATAGGACGTAGTTACACGTAATTGATCATTTTTCAAAGAGGGCAAATTATAACCTTTTTTTATTATTATATAGGGCCTAACTAAAATTTTATGAAAATCACACAAGTGAGACTCAAAGTCTGAGTGATCAAACATGTGCACTTAATATTGAAGTACATAAAATAGCTTTTGCATGGATATTTCTATTAATCAATTTTCAATGAAAGCCATGCTACAGATTTATACTTATACACTTGCATATAAAATTATACATACATGCTCCTGATGAGATGATCTGTTTGTGGTTATACTAATATTGAAGAATAGTTTTGGAGATTGTTAATGCGGACCATGTAGAGATTAAAGAGGGAACCACAGTAAACAAAGTTTCTAATCTTGACCCCACTTGAAATCAATGAGAATTGTGGGCCATAATAGTGAGAAGTTGGATTTCCTTTGGTGTCTACAACAATAACCCCACCAGTTGTAGTATTTATACTCTCTTTCTGATCATTTGGTTGTCCATTAATGGACCTTCTTAAGCTGTATTTATGTGCTAACTCTGAAGAATTGCTGCTAGATGCCTGCATCCAATAATAGACAAGAGGAAGAAGATTAATGTGAGCTATATATATATATATATAGCTAGTAAAATTAAATACAACGGATATTGTCGTTACGTTGCAAGGCTTAACCTAATAGTGAATCGAAATTTATTTTTAATATTAAGATTTAGTGTTCAGATCCTCCTACCTTCTATTCAAAAATGATTTTTAAATAAATATACGACAAATATTGCTAGCGAACGCACTATAAAACTCCTAATTTGAAGAATATTGTAATTAACTTGCGTACCATAGCGACAAATCTACATCCTCTTCTAATATTGAGTTCTATAGTTTTATCTATGAAGAAGTAATGTACTAATTATACAGTCCAACACAAAACGAAATAAATAATCTATACCCGTTTTTAACACTGAGGTCCAGAGTTCAGATTCCTACCCTCAAGATTTGTTTTTTTTTTCTTTTTTGCAAATTTCTAGCAAGCTAGCTAAGATGCTGTGAACTCCTAATTAATTTGAACAAATATTGACCTTGATTAAACACGCAAGGTTTTTCTTTAATGGGTATTATGTAATTAAATGAAAATGAAAGGAAAATTTTAAAAAAATATGAAATGATTAAGCACCATTGCCAACGCAATCCAATAATGGTCTTCTCCAATGTCATAATGAATGTTATCAGGAAAGCCCGGCAGATCAATGAAGTCTTTGACACTTCCTTTCTTCTTTCCTCGTATGAAATACTTTCTACATCTCATCCTACCAACAAAAAAACTTTCAAATTAACCTCAAATAACACAAAGAACACAACTTTTTTCATAAATTACGAGCGGAGATAACTGATATCAAATTAAGTTAGCATCCACTAACAACCAAATCCCCTATCGAATTCCCTACTCGAAAATATACAAAAACTTAACCAAGTTAATTATCATTTAACCTACATGACGGTTTCGCAAAAAACCACCGAATTTTGATCGGGCGAGATGGCTAATCCGTTGGCAAAGTAAAGGTTGCGGAGGAGCAGCTTGGTCTTTTTGGTGGATGGATCATAGCTCCATAATCTTCCATGGGGCTTGCCCTCCAAAATGTCCAACACAAATTCATCCAAGCTGTATTTATAGGAAGCTTCTGTGAAGTAAATCACCCCATTTTCTGCTACATCAACGCTGTCTATCAACTTGAACTTTTCATCCTTAGTCCCTTTTGTCAGCACCTTCATCTTACCAGCTTGCGTTATATTCAACAGTCCCTGTATATAAATATATATATATATATATATATAATTCTTAACGAGTTGAAATTCCTGGCTATCTGATAATTACTATAGATAATTGCTATTACATATTAGGTAAGTTTGTGACTAATTTAAGGATTAAATTACCAACAATTATGTGATTTGGGGATGAAAGTGCTATATTACGAGAAGGGTAGGGTTATGTAAAAAATCATAATTATTCTGTCCAAAATTGAAGTCTCTTTTGATGATTGCTGTTAGCGGTTATTATTTTGTAAATTCGAGGACTAAATTTCTAAGTGAAAAAAAAAAAAAAAATTAAAGACGAAAGGCAAAACCTTGAGAAGTTAAAATTGATACGGGTGCTATAAAAAAAAAAGTGACCTTTTTAGGATCGGTGACTATAACTTCATTGTGACGTCCAAAGGCGATTCCGAGGGGTCTCCCACCTGTGTCTACCCACTTTTTTACCACTGTGTCAACACCCGACTCGTTCACCGTGACCCGCTTGATCCACCCATCCACGCAACCGGTGTAAATGAGCCTCGACTTCGAATGATAAGCCAAATCTTCCGGCCCTTCCAAGAGTGCCAACCCCACCAGCTCCCATGGCGCATTTATAGCTGGCTCATGCTCACCCGCACTGCTTGGTAGCCTAATGAACTGGTCAAGGGGTACTACTTGAGAAGTTTTGAAGACAAATATGGCTACCACCAGGAGAAATAGTACTAAAAACAGGGTAACAATGAACCATGAAGAAGACTTGGTTGGAGTGGGGATAATGGGGCTGGCTAGGGGAACCGAGTCGAGGTTTTTTGACTCGGGCATCGATTATTATCCGGTGGTAGATTCAGCAGAAAAAGCGGTTTATTTCGGAAGCACACAATTTTTCATTTTGTAGAAGTAGTTGTATGTTATAAGTTTATTACGTATAAGGCTTGTACAACAACTCAGTAGTGATAGCATAGTAAAGATCAACGTCCATAGTCTCACAAGCAATGTATGAGGATGGTCACGTATCAGTTCTTCTAACTGTCTTGTTTACAAGTTAATTTCCATAAAAAATTCACAAGGATTCACACTAATCCCATTATGCCAAGTTTGATGTGTTTTGTGGAGAATTGATGCACCATAGAATGCCATCGAAATACACACGGCAACAATGAATGCAAAAATAACGTAAATAAGATTTCTTACATATTAACTTAGGTACCTCTCCCAATCTCCCAATCAAATTTGGATTACAAAAGACTTAAAAAAAAAAAGTGATCTTTACACAAAGTTACAGAGTCATATAATCTCTATTCTCTTTTTTAATCACATAACACCATTTATGTTGGCAAAATATATAAAAAGTAAATGACGTACCCATCATCTAGAGCTGCAAGTTTGAGCTGGGCTAAATGAGCCGGCCCTCGGTCTATTACTATTGATTCAGGCCCGGCCTTAGATTTTTTAAGTTTAAGACCCTCTCTCTTTTAAGGCTAGGCCGAGCCGGATCAAATATCATATTTTTTATTTTTTTTTGAAAATACCTTATAAAATTTCAGGTCAGGCCGGGCCAACCTTAAACTTTTTGAGTTTAAGGCCGGGCCAGGTCAACCCTCTCTCTTTTAGGGCTTGACTGGGTGGCCCAAACTTACACCTTTACCAGCATCGTAATTTGAAGAATAGTATTTAAGGAAGAAACGATTACTTCACCTTTGAATCTTGGGAAAGGGAATCCAAATGGCAGTGGATTCCTATTAAGTGAGTTTGCACCATGAATATTGATCCAGTTCCTGTAGAATCTATCACTAAAATAGCTCTAGGGCTAATCAAATTATGAGTAAAGATTTCAGCAAAATAAAAATAGTAGTAATAATTATAATGAGCAAAGAATATCTGTTTTCTGCTAAAGAAGATGTATTGAGCTCATACTTTTGTTGAAAAAATAAAAATAAAAAGAATCATCAGAAGGAAGATAGCCCCGCTATATGCCTCAACTTCTCGTATGAAACCCAGAACACAAATTGCCAAGGACCAAGCCTGGCCCATGTGGGGAAGAATCCCTTCCACAGTGCTCTTATTCCTTCAACTTTAACAGTCTTAACCAGACAATCATAAGAACTCTTGTACAGAACCTTCTCATCCTTTCGAACCGCTTGATTCATCATTCTTGTCTTCACTACATCGGCCGGACAACTTAGAGTTGTGGCTGAGAGACCAGACATAACAGAGGCTAAGGTGTGGGCATATATGTTATCCTCGGATATCCAATTCCGAACAATGAAATGCTTTGTATGATCATAGCAGGCCAATTCTCCCATGTTCACCAAGAACGCTCTTTGGACATTCGGAAAAACACCTTTCCAAAGTCCTCCAAACCCTTCTGAACGGACAATCTTGTTCAAAGCATCAAAGGGGCCGGAGTACCTAGGCCGTAGGCCTTGGCTTACCATTCGACCGTCAGCTTGCATCCTCACCTTGACAAGATCAGCAGGGCTTGCCACTACCTGTACTACTAGCCGCAAACAAAAACGAACACTAAAATTATCAAACAATTAGAAGAACTGGGAAAAGTATTAGGCTTCATAGATCATTGGTTTAATTATTGGTCATGGAATTCACAATGGATACTTTTCACACATGCAGATACAAAAATGTAGCATAAAATATTACCAAGTCCAGCTAATTTCTTATGTCAAAGGTGCATTTTGAATTTTCATTGCTAATTTAAATGAGATTATATCAAGCTATCAACTAATTCGGATTTCCAAATAGCACCATCTTTGTAAACCAGAAAGTCAATTAAGCAAAGTAGAGTTAGATCTAAGAACCGAAAAATAAGTGATGATTTTCGTAGAGCTAATAACACTTTAAATGTATCTTTGCACACTGTTAAATCAATCAACAAAGCTTAACTATTTCCTAATTATTAATTCAGACCTTATAATAAAAATAAAAAAGTAGACTTTTTGCTGAATTAAAACTGAGCTCCATAAGAAACTATCTTTGTAAAGTTGTATACTAATGATTCAACCAACAAAGCTTATTAATCTCCTAATTATTACTTAGACCGAAAAACCAAAAGAAAGATCTTCTTGTTTTTTTCTCACTAATCCATAAAATTAAGCTTATTAATATCCTAATTATTATTTACTTAGCCCTAAATTCCCAGCGTAAAACGAAGCCCTCAGTCCATAAGAAAACAGAATTACATGAGCCATAACGAATCAATTAAGCTCGTCAAAAGGTCTTCTTTTGAGTGATAAGTGATCAATCAAGCTCAGTAATCTTCTAATTAAGCTCAGAAGTATTCTTTTTGATATTTATATTAAAAAAAAGATAAAAAGAAGTGTTTAATTGAAAAGAAAACAGAATTACCAGAGAGATAACGAATCAATTAAGCTCATTAATATCGATTAATCTCAGCAAAATGTCTTCTATTCAGCGATAAATGAATCAGTTAAGCTCATTAATCTCCTAATTAAGCTCAAAAGTATCGTTTTTGATAATTACCTGAGCGAGAACGCCGGAGAGTCCACCGAGGAGAGCTTTGGAAGAGAGTGAAAGAGAGGAACCGCCATCGGAATGTGGAATTAGGGATCTGAAATGCTCGTAAGAGACGATTCGAAGAGGAGTGTAGAAGAGGTGCCTGAGAATCGCCGGAGAGAGGCCATTGTAGAGCCCTAGGAGGCCTTGCCGACGGACGATCTCCGCTGCCACTCCCATGGCGGAGGAATGCGGCTTCCCGTGAAGCTGGAGCCTCGTCTTGGTCAAGTCCAGGGGAAACGTTGTCGTTTCGGCCGCCATGGCCGAGAGTGAGGTCAGTGCGATCTTGGTGCTGGTTCGCTCGTCACCTCCATTTTGTGGGATCTTCATCTTAGAGAGAGAGAGAGAGAGAGAGAGAGAGAGGACACTGTAGACGACATGAGGGAAATGGGCAGTATTTGACCCAATTCATTTGAGTTTTGTTAGGGTAAATAGTTATAAAAAATAATTACATTTAATTTTTTTTATTATAATAAAATTTTTTACATAAAATTACATCTTAATTTAAATTAAAAATTTAAATCAACAACTAAACATGTCATTGAATTAAGCGTCGAAAGACATGTCTTTTAACGACAACAACGACAATATGCCATTTATAATTTAAATGACATGAACGTGCTCATAGAGCACGGGAGGTAGGGGTGAAAGTCAGTTAGGTATGGTCGGTTTTTAGATTTATTTTGGGCCGGCCCGCAATAATCGGCCTGAGAAAACGCTGGGCCGCAACATGTTAATTAATCACAGAATCTGTATACCATTTGGTTACCTTAGGTAACATTGGGTCGGCCGGGTTACTTCGGGTAAACCAACTCCAAATTTGCTTATTTTAGCTGTTTTTCCACCAGTAAAACAACTCCAAAATGGGTGATTCTTTGCGGAATTGGTGCTTTTGCATGAGACCATGGGTAAACTATGGGAAAGATTTCACATACAAAAGCAATGAACAAAGAGTCTAGGTTGGGCTAATTCAGACCGGGTAGGGTTAAGCAGGGTAATGGAGCTTGGGCCCACGACCCTACCCGCCCATTGCGGGTTGGGCTAATTTTAAACCGAAAAAAACCCTATATTTTCGGGTAGAGTAAGGTTAGATAGTCAAGTTCGGGATGATTTCTTTCACCTCTAACGGGAGGCGTGAAAAATTTCCCCTTTATTAAATTTTTACTTCTAATGTTGCTGTTAAACGCCATTTATGAACCTCAGGTCTCTAATTCAAGTAAATTAAGGAGGAAGTTAAGTATAATAAAAATAATAATAATAACTTTTACTGTATAATTATACTTTCATGTAGAAGTTAATATGATAATTATTTATTAAATTGTTTGTTCCTTTAAAAGTAATAAAGTACTGCTGGAAGCAAACTAAAACAGAGAAGAAATCATTTAAATTGATTCTTTTTTGTTTTTTGTAGTTACTTTTTTTTTTTTTTTTACACAACATTTCCTTCTTGATACTCATGACGTTCAGATTGATATTCACAAACAAAAGGGATTCGAGTGTAGTCCTTTTAACATGTCATCCAATTTTGAAAAGACGTTTGGTTGGAGGATTTAAATCATGTGATTCGAACTATTTTCAATTTATGTATATTTTTTGTGAGAGAAAATACTGTAGCGAACCACGAATTATGATTCGAATCAGGGAACAAATCCTTTTACCAAATAACTGATTAGAAAAGGTTCATTGATAGTCTTGTGTAAGCATTATTACTTTTGAATTGAAAACAAAATTCTTGCTTTGTTCCATCTGATATAATATAACGATTTTATTATGTTCACCTTTACAACCTACTTTTTAGAAGTGAGCTCTGGTATCTGTCTCAAGCTGATTATAGTGTCCCAAACTACCAAGACCAAGCAAAGAAACTTCACTTGTATCAACTACTCCATTAATTGGCCATTCCTTCAAACTCAAATCAAATACAACTAGCATGTGCAACGCACATGTTAATTCTTACTAATAATACTTTATATATGCTACAATTTTTTTTATAAAAATGATCAACAAGGTTCACAACTTTTAAATATTGGGGTACAACTTTTAAATATTTTAGGTGATGAGACCTGAGTATTGGGGTACAACTTTTAAATATTTAAATTGTTAGTAACTATACTTCTTTCAAGAACCATTTGAGATAAAATTTTTTATAGAAAGCTAACCTTTAAAGACAAATTAGGGATGGTTAAATGATAACTTTCTGATGTGGGACTCCTAATTTTTTTTTTTGCTTTGTTTTTTTTTGGAGTTTTAAACACAGCCAAAATATTTCGACACTAACTAAAACAAAACACTCTTTTTAATAATAACAAAAATCTACCCTCTATGTTTTTATTTAATATCGTGTTTCATATGTTCAGTAATGCTACATCTGTCTCACGTGTTTTTAGTTGTAAACATTTCCTACAATGTATTTTGGTCAAAATAACTGTGTGGAAAGATACTTTTAACCTTCTATAAATTTTTTTTTTTTCAAATTTTAAATACAGAAGCCCAAAACTTTCTAAACAAATTTGAAATTTTTTAATTTTTTCCCTAAAAAGAGAGAACGGGGAGTTAAAAATAAAAAATATTTATTTATTTTTAAATGTTTGAATTCTAATTCGGGCATTTCAATCATTTTGAAAAATTTTATAAGTTATGTGAAATATTAAAAACTAATTATAACCTTTGACCTACAGGTCCATTTCCCTCAATCGCCCTAAAAATTGCGTGCAAAAAACACGATGTTGTTTCTCTCCCAAAAATAAATGGCATGTCGTTTATATGAAGACCAAACTGAATATATATATATATATATATAAATTTGAGGAAACTGTACAGATGATACCTTTTGTTTTTTTTTTTTATTAAAAATATGCCTCTTTGTCTTTCCGGACAAGTGTTTTTTTTTTTTTTTTTTTTAAAATATAAGAAGAGAACATGGCGTTTCATATCTTGAAAAACAAACGACATGTCGTGTTCCAGTTGAATTTTTGTTTGACGTCGTTTTTTACTTGCTCTCTTCTCCCGTTTAATATTTAAAAAAAAAAAGTAAAAATTTTAAAAATACTGTGAACCTAGAGGTGGCAATTTGTGTCACGTGTCGTGTTTTGATCGCTTTTTTTAAATTTACAGTCAATCCGAACACGACCCGTGGCACGAAATTTTTTAAAAACCGCAACACGAACACGACACAACCACTTTACGAGTTGACACGACACGACTCAAAAATGACCCGTGAATCCGAAATTGACATGCAAATTGTATATTTTTATTTACTTTTTTAGATATTAGAAATAACTTAAAATTCATAACACACTAAATTACAATAACATCCATTGAAATTAAGCAAATAATATTATAAGATTTTGAGTATAACTATCATAATATCACAAGTTCATAATAAAATTTAAAATATGAAATGAAAAATATATGTATTTTTTAGTTTTTTATGAGTTTCGTGTCGTGTTCGGGTTAGGCGGGTCAAACCCGAAATTAACCCGTATTTTTCGTGTCAATTTTAGGTCGATCCAATTCTGATCTGAACATCTTTTTTCTCAACCCTAACCCGTAAAATTCGTGTCATTTTTGAGTCGTGTCGTGACCCATATTGCCGGCCCTATGTAAACCTACTTAAAATCAATTCAACCGACAACGAATAAAATATTAAGATAAGACCTATACCAAGTTGGGGTTGAGCTGGGCAATCTTGTCGGGTTCTTCATCAGTCAACACCCTAACTAAACGTCTTTTTAATTACAAAACTTACAATTGATTTTCGATTTGACATTAATAACCATCACATGTCCCGGCCAACCATATAAATACTTTTGAAAAACCATGGTAGTGCAGCTAGCACAAAGATCAAATGGTTTGATCAATTCATGAAATAATAAGATACATATATATATATATATATATATATATATTACATTTGGCGAGTTTTCTCTGATATCACAAAAGATAAAGATCAAAAAAGGAGAAGAAGAAAAAGGTCATGACTCATGAGAGTGAATAATCGTTTGCCATTAGCAATAATATTAATTGTTTCATGGTTATCTCTAAGATGATCTCATCATCATCCGGCCGGACACGTAAGCTAAGTCAATTCTTTTTACATTCATTATGTCTTGTGCTCTTCTGAGTCAGAGCTCATATATTACATATACATGATTTGGATTCTATACATATATATATATATATATATATATATATAGACACAAACACACACATATATATATATATGGAATATGTATTCTGTATATAGAATATTTATATATATATGTATATGTGGAAGACCAAGACCTTGGAGGAGTGGTTAGAATTATAGACGTAATGAAGGGTCTTGTGAACTGTTCAGCAAACTACGTACCCTTAACACCAATTGGCTTCTTAGAGAGAGCAGCTCTTTTTTATGGAGATGAGACTTCTATCGTTTATGGTAATTCGGTTAGATTTTCATGGAAAGAAACTCACCAAAGATGTCTCAACTTTGCTGCTTCTCTCGTCCGGTTAGGGATTTCTCGCCATGATGTTGTAAGTACTTGTCCAATACTATATAATTAATTACTCTTTTTAGCTCGTTAATTTGGTGCTTGATCGTAGTATTACTTTCTAATGTTATATTCCAATTTGATGAAATATTTCCATGAAAATGAATATGGTGGAGTTCTTCGTGGTTTTGATTTACTACACAGTAATAACAATATCTAGGCATATATGTGTGCACTCTCGCAGCGATCTAAAGATATACAGACACATGATTTACTTTCTTTCCCAATTAACTATATGTATGTATTACACACACATATTGTTTGTTTATATTTATGTCAAACTTAGGTTGAACCGACCAAGCCTAGAAATACGTAATTTTTTAACGAATAAACAAGATGAATCAAAAGGAACAAAACATCCCAATTAAGAGAAACATAAAGGGCTATTTTGGAACTCGTTTCAAAATAATTTTATTTTTTGTATGAAAATAAAAATGAAAACGTTTTCAATCTCAAACAGCAATCATTTTTAAAAATGCGTTTGGTAGTTTTATCAAGAGATTGTTTTCAGTGTAAAAAAATCTATTAATGTCTCTCTTTCTCTCTCTGCGCGAGAGATGAGAAAATGAAAATAAAAAATGAAAAACAACTAAAAGTCGTTTTTCATTTCTCTCTCATTTTACACTAAACCAAAAATTGTTTTCATTTTCATTTTTATATTTATTGCGCCAAACGCTGTTTTGGAAACGTTTTTATTTTTTCTTTCTCAAAAAACGTGAAAAATAAAAACGGGATCAATTCCAAATATGGCCAAAGTTTTCTTATATCTTGCATGTTGCTGCATACATATACTATATTCATCGTTTTTTTTCTTTGTTTTTTATTAATGATGAATAGAGATAACTAGCTACGAAAGAAAGGGAGTACGTGGGTCCATAAAAGAGAAAAAAACTCATCTTACACTAACTAAACTTCTCACCGAATCTTATTAAGAAAAAAAAGATATACAAATTACAAACTAAAAGTCAAGCTAAAATGCAGCAAAAGTCAAACGCAAAACAAAAAGAACTAATACAAAACAGTTAGCAAAACTATCTGCTTTGTTTGAAAAACTAAAATTAGTGGCCTCATTAAGTCAAGATTAATCCAGATTAATCTTCAACTTTAAATGCAAGCATTTTGAACTGCCACATGCAAAACCATTGACTATCTATATCACAGCTAGGTTAAATTTTGCAAGTTAACAGTCTGATATTAATTATTAAGTACTAATTCGTTAGATATTATAATTAAAGTTTCCGTAAAAATTTGTTTGATACTACTGTATCAGATTGATCACCTAAAAAATAAAGTCATGACAGAAATATGGATGTATTAATTTTTGGCAGAGAGAGTCAATGGTCTATGTACATGCATATTATATTATAATTAACATGTGGTCTAGGATTACTTTCATTAGCCGTCTCGTTATTAGATACATATGCACTTATCTAATTTTAACCCCAAAATACATTCAGAGGTTGTTTAGACACCCTGATGTTTGTTAATATACAGGTTTAGCTCTTCTATTAATAAACTGTCTATTTTCGGACGTAATATAACACAAGAATGACATTTAAGGATTTCAAAAAAATAAATTAGTAAAAAAAGAAAACGCCACACGGTTTCATTTTGAGTTCTTTTTTAACTTTATTTTTGGGTTCCTTCTTATTTTTCAACCACTTTATTCTTTGAAAACTAGTACCATACTCATGATACATTTTGTTTGAAAATAGATAATTTATTAACACAGGGAACAACGTTGTATATTTTAAAAATGTCAGGATAGATAAATCTTTAAAGTGAATGTCGAGGAGTCAAAATGAGACAACTGCGTATATATTCCCGCGGTTATAGGTATAAACAAGCCTGTATTCTAATATGAAAAGAAGAAGACGTGATAATAATTTAAATTTTTGTCCGGTAGACTTTAACTTTGCTAGAATTGCTGGTGAAGAAGGAAAAAAAAAAAAAAAATTCATGCTAGATATCCATCTAAACTAACGCATGCTACTTGCGACATTTGTCATTGTCCCCGTGCGTGCAGGGCCGATATTTGTGGAAATTAAACATGCAAATGATAATGAAAAAGAAAACCCACTTTATTTGAATTCAATCAGAAGATATAAACATGCTACACATTCTATTCTATCTACACATGAAAACCGCCATATTAAATTAGCACAGATGGCTATATATAGCTACCACTGATAGCGTCAAGTCAAAGTCTTTATAAAAGATTCATACTCATTTATACAAGATCATAAGTATTTCATGCGTTCACTACAATACACACACGTATGTTTTATTGGTGGAGTTAGACGTCAAGCTAATTAATTTCATCACTTTTAGTACAATTTCATTCTAGTGCAATATGTGCGCGCTCACACACAAAAATTAAAGATTTCTTTTTCAAATAAAATAAATTACTTTTTTCATTTTTTCTACTTCGAAGTGCTTGTATTGGATATGTGAAAACGCACTAACAAAACAGTCAGGCACGCGCGTGTGGATATATTTTGAGAAAAGAAAGCATAAAAGGAAAAAAGTTACCTCCTTTTTCAATTTTGTTTTGTTGTGTTTTTCCATTTGGTATGATACCTTTTGCTTTCCACTTTCTTTGGCTGTGGCAACAAACAAGGAAGATTCAGTGCATGACTTTGCTAGTGGCTTCAAATCATGTGCAAGTCTATATATTTGCATAGTCAATGTGTACCACTAAAAAGAAAACAAAAATATATGTCGGACAACAACATTGAATATGGAAAGATTTTCTTAGACCCGTAGTAAGGGGCTCACATACGTGGACTCTTTAGGTGGACCTCATTAGTCATTACTATGCGAGTGATGGGTTCTAGTCTCATCAGACTATTTAAGATCCGTATAAGGGTTTGAATCAGGATTTTTAAATTTTTGGATTTGAACTATGTGTGTTTTGAATTGTGGAGTTTGAACTTAGGACTCAAACTATAAATTTTTGAGTTTGAACCATATGTAGTTTGAACAAGAGGTTTAAACCAGTCAAAAATAAAGAGAGTGGTGGTTTTATTTTTTAGAATTCAGAAAGATTAAAATATCACATCATGGTTCAAATCTTAAAACTTTTCTTTTTAAACTAAATATTAATTTTGTTGAATTGGTTTCGAATCATTTTTTACTTTTTACAAATAAGTGCTGGTTTAAATTAAAATCATAATTCAAATAATGAGAATACTTATATCAAACCGAGCCTTAGTATTACTCCTTGGGAGTCATTGATATACATGAGTGCATATTAGGGAGTGCATCCATGTGGAGGTTGTTCTTAATGGGAAAGTAATTGATGCAATACGGAAATAATAACACTTCTTCACAGGGGAATGCGTCGTCTTTAGTGACGATAAGTGGCCTTGTGGACCCGTAGCATTCCACCAATCTTTTCACATACCCAAAACAAAATATTATTCCTCTGACGCCATCATTGTGACAGAATAACATTACATGATTCCCAAATACCACTTGGAATTTGTCTAGACCAGTGATTTGTCTTATAATATATATTTATATATCCGCAGAATATATCCAAGCTAACTAAGGTGCACTTTGTGGACTTTCTTTTATCTCCCTGTATCACGACTAACTTTTTTCATGCAAATATTTCCAATCATAACACGTCTCTCTTGGTCAAAAAATAGCACTCTACATCCCTAATTATTCTATTGCACAATATTGAAGAATAGTGATCGTGATTTCTTTGTCGTCTTCTTCTTATGATCACTCTTCTGGGTGTACTTTGTTGATCAGTCATAATCACTTTTGGGTTCTTATCACTTCTCGGCCACTTTTGTAAGTTGAACATTTATTGCAAGCCAAGAGATACAAAAGTACGTGCAATCTCAAATTATATGAAAAACACAATCCCAATAAACAATTGATTCTACTAGTAAAATAAAATAAAACGCTCACTATTGAGTTTTATTAAGTGAGTTTTATCGATGAATGAGATAAGGACTTCTTTTTTGTGTTTTATTAAAGTTGGTTTGTTATGATGGATTGTAATGCTTCAATTTAGTTTATTGCCGAAAGCTCAAATTTAATTGAGTTATAACCAGTTAAATTTTGAGTTGTGAGGACTTTTGAATTGATAACAAATTGAAATTTTCCCAATCGGAAGGTTATGAGTTGATTTACAAATTCCCATATTTGTGAAACTCAATCTATAATTAACAAATACCCCTACTTTCCAGCAATGATTACATGCCTTGTATTGTTAAATAGACCTCTTGAATCTCATAAGCTAATGATTTCATGGCACAATATAGTTGAGTTAATGCTTTCTTTGTTGTCTTCTTCTCTCACTATTCGTTCCAATCAGTTAACATTCTTATGTAAGTTAAACATAACTCAGTAAGGAAAATTACATCATTTTATTTTTCTTCTTCGCATGACTAGTTAGGTTGTTTATCAAGATTATGATTAATCATATGCTTTTAGATATATTTGTGATGATCAGACGAACGCCTCAGGTTAAGACGTTATATGTACCATTCTCTACAGCAATATCTAGTGATATTATCGAATTTAGCTCCGAGTGATTGATACATATATATTTAGATCAATACATATATATTGGTCAATCATAATATTTGTACGTGGAATTATTTAGAATTAATTTTTCTAATTTTTGTGAGAGCAGGTTGCGGCTTTTGCACTTAACGTTCCGGCATTGTATGAGCTGCACTTTGCCGTTCCAATGGCTGGGGCAGTTCTATCTGCCCTTAATTTCAGGTTAGACGACACCATGTTGGCACTCATATTGCAACAATTGGAGCCCAAATTCATTCTTGTCGACCATCAATTTGTTCATATCGTCCTCAAAGCACTCAATACCATAAGTCAAACTGTACCAAATTGCAAGCCGACCCTTGTTCTAATTCCTGAGTGCGACCAAAAGACATCATCGTCATTGTCGTCGTCATCGTCATCGTCATCGTCATTATCATCTAATAACAATATTCTCAACTATAATGACCTGATTGAAGCACGAGATCATGGCGACCTCGAGTTTGAGATTATAAGGCCAACCGATGAATGTGATCCGATTTCAGTGAACTACACTTCAGGCTCAACAGGAAACCCTAAAGGTGTTATATACAGCCATAGAGCCGTCTATTTGAATTCACTGGCCTTAATTCTGAACATGGACAAGAGACGGGTGCCGGTGTTTCTATGGACGGTCGACATGTTTCGGTGCAACGGTTGGTGCTACCCTTGGGCGATTGCTGCCCTCGGAGGCACCAATATCTGCCTCAGGAATACTAATCTCTCCGCAAAGATTATCCTTGACGCCATTTCCCTTCACAAGGTGACTCACTTGTGCGGTAAGCCCATCATTCTAAACATACTCGCGGAAGCATTGGATGGTAAGCCATTGGCATCAAGGGTGGACATTGTCATCGCAGGCGCGTTGCCATCTCACCAAATTCTCACAAAGGTCACGGAAATGGGATTCAACATCAGCCATGGCTATGGCATGACGGAGGCCCTTGGTCCGCAAATTATCGAGCCTTGGAGACCTGAATTGCCACATTCTCACATAGCAAACGGCGATAACAAGGGTGATGATGATGATGATAAAAGTACTAAAAGATGTCGTGGAGAAAGCCTAGGCCGGTATCATCACAACCTCATGATAATGGAAAGGTTTGACGTGAAAGATCCAAGCACAATGGAAAGCATCCCAAACGACGGGGAAACAATGGGGGAGATAATGTTCAGGGGCAATACTTTGATGTCGGGGTATGTGAAGAATTCGAAAGCCACAGAGGAAGCTTACAATGGCGGATGGTACCGAACAGGAGATGTCGGAATTAGGCATCAAGATGGGTCCATACGAATGAAAGACAGAGCAGAGGATATAGTGATTTGTGGAGGGAATGTCATAAGCACACTTGAGGTGGAGGCCGTGTTGTTGAGCCATCCAAATGTGCTGGAAGCGGCTGTTGTGGGGCGTCATGACGAATGTTTGGGAGAAATTCCATGTGCTTTTGTCAAGTTGAAGAAGGGTTGTGAAAGTACTATTACTAGCTCTGAAGAGATTATAGAATTCTGTGGGAATAATTTGCCGGCTTATTACATGGTTCCTCATGCTGTGATTTTTGGGGATTTGCCTGTTAATTCCACGGGAAAAGTACAGAAATTTGTTCTCAGGGACAAGGCCAATGCCGCGAATGGTAGCTATCAGCCTAGATCTAAATAAGTAGTACTGTTTGATCGGTTTGTTGTTTTAGCCCTTTTATTATGTATCATGAAATGAAAGACTAATTACTCTAATTATGATAATCAGTACTGTTTGATCGGTTTGTTGTTTTAGCCCTTTTATTATGTATCATGAAATGAAAGACTAATTACTCTAATTATGATAATCAGTACTGTTTGATCGGTTTGTTGTTTTAGCCCTTTTATTATGTATCATGAAATGAAAGGCTAATTACTCTAATTATGATAATCAGTACTGTTTGATCGGTTTGTTGTTTTAGCCCTTTTATTATGTATCATGAAATGAAAGACTAATTACTCTAATTATGATAATCAGTACTGTTTGATCGGTTTGTTGTTTTAGCCCTTTTATTATGTATCATGAAATGAAAGACTAATTATCAATTAAACTTAATTTTGGCCATCAGTGGATGATCCTATATTCACTTTTCCTTGTTAATTATTGAATTAATTGATGCATTATGATGGACATAACGACATAATATAAACCTCATTTGGTATATGGGATAAAACACGTGGAAAGTTATTATTGGCTGGGAGAGAACCGGCCCAACAGCAATATACATATACATATACATACACACACACACACACACACATATATATATATATATATATATGTATATATATTCCGTCTTCATCTACTTTTAGGAGGAAAACCCTATTTTCGTTCATTTAATTAACACCCAAAATGTAGGCAAAATTTGGATTAAAAAAAAAAGGTAGACACAATTATATAACGTGCGCTAGATGTGTAAATAGCTAAATGAAGGACAAATTAGTCAAAGTAATAATGGTTAGAGGAGTAATTATATTTGGCAATATTTCCATCTATTTTTAAGAAGAAACCCTAATTTCCTGCCGACTAGGTATTCCTCTGTAAAATCCTTTTTCTTCTTCTGGAAGTACAAGTAAATTAAAGAGGAAGAAGTAAAGAAGAGAAAATGGAATATGATAACAACAACAACAACAACAACAAAAATAGAGAAAACAAACACGACAACGACAGAAGAGACTGTCATCTCTTCCGGAGGAGATTTGGTCAATAATCCTTGACCATGTGGTGTCGTCCTGCCTTCTGAATCTCCTCCGGTTACGCAACATCTGCTCGTCGATCGTCCACTTTTTCTTGCCCTCATCAAGGTCCAACAATAAAACCGCAATTCCCTTCCCCTTCCCCGGCCCCATCCCGGCCGGTCGTTACGGCGTACCACGACGACCGAAGTTCCGCCTCTTTGACGTATTCTCCTCCCCGAGGGACAAGTTCGACCTCAACGAGGAAGCCATCGCCGGAGGATTCGACCTCAACTCTTTCGCTTCACAGAATTGACCACCTCTTACGCCCTTATCAAGTACGTGAAACTCCTATTTCTTATAATTATCCTTTTTATTATGTTATTGTTGTCTGTTCAGTTCATTGTTTTAATTTTTTTTTCGAATCTCGTTTTGGTTCTTTTTAAGTGGTAGTTGTTGGTTTTTTCCAAATATAATGTTATAAGTTGTCGTTTCTAGTTTACTTTCTCTTACTAATGACCGTCGTTTATCTATCTAGCTGACATTGTTTTCTTGGTATTACCTTATTTGCTGGGTGCCATTTTTATATATAAATCACACACTTTATTTTGTTAATTTTTTTTTTGTCCTTTTTCTGCACTGGACTTGTTATTTTGAATTTTGATGTTGATGTTTTCACATTACCGTCGTTGTCGTTTTCTTGTTACTGTCGTTTTGCGATGGTTTTCCAATGAGAACTAAAGGAAGGATAATATGTTTTTATATATATATATATGTATATATATATATATTCTTGTAATTTTGAGGCTTTAAGAAAAGCAAGATTAGAGGAGGATTCTAGAGTCCTTTGTAGTTCTGTTTTGTTTAAATCAATTTATAGAAGTATGTTTTCTATCAATTGTCTATGTTTGTTTTAAAGAGCTAGTTGAGTGTTCGATACTTAGTTTGTCTATATTTTTTTCCGCTGAGGAAACTAGATGTAAGTTCTATCACTTTTGCACGTCACTAGATTATACTGTGGAGCCAGGAGGCCAAATCTGTTGTCCTTTGTTGGACGTCTTTATTACTCTCCCCCCAATCAAAATCTGCCCCATCATGTTTGACTTTACTTAAAATCGTAGCAGTGTTAGTTTAACGAACGGGGCTGGCAAACCTTCTTCTCTCTCTCTCTTTAAAAATAACTTTTTTTTTTTCCTTCGTGCTTTCCAATGCGCCTCCACCAAGATCAGTCCTCTCATATTTCACAAGGTTCTCTTCTATAAGGCTAATAGATATTTTTAGAAACTTGGATTTTTCAGCTAAAAAGTTGTCGGAAACCATGGTTAAGTCGTCGAAAAGAAGCTACAATAGATCTGGACACCAGTCGCTTGGTGTCATTATATACCGAGGTCATTATTAGTGTGTCTTTCTTTAATATAGTATTTTATTGATAGTTATTAAAACACCCTTAAATTTAGAACACATGAATTGCACGTGATGTATTTTGTTAAAAGACTAACGAGAGTTAACACAAATGTGTTAATTGCTAACAAGTGTAGGAGGATGGCCCACAGCACCAGATGGTCCATACACCTGCGGATATTGCTTCAATACGGAGTTAGTTCCAAGTGACTATTGTGTTCCTAGCATTGAATGGCCCTGTGTCCTGGTCAACAATATTATGGCCGAGGACCCATCCAACTCAGTTAGCAAGTAGTAATTACTATATTAATTTTGAAATAATTAAGTCGTCATTGTTCAAAAATATTTAATTACTTTTTTTAAAAAATCAGTTATTTTATCTCACTCTTTTTTAAAAAATTAATCTTTGAAACATTCAACAAGCCGAACTTGGATTAAACCTGCTTAGCAATCTCGATCTAGTTGCCACAGATGCCATTGTATCATTCGAGGCAGCCTTTTAGTTTTGGATGACTCCACAGTACAACAAACCATCGTGCCACGAAGTTATAGTCGGCGCATGCATGGAAGCCAACTCCAGCTGATATAGCAGCCAACCAGCTTCCAGTCATCAATGGAGGTCTAGAATGTGGCCATGGTCCTGATGATAGGGTGAAAGATAGAATTGGCTTCTATCTGAGATACTGTCACTTGCTGGGAGTGGATCCTTGGGATAACTTGGATTGCTATTGTTGTAGGGTAAAAATTCTAAACCCTAATCTGAATATTAGATGGGATTCATGTGTCATAAATGAGGACATTTAATGATCGGAATAGTTTTGTCTTAGTTGCAACATCGGATGAAGGTTCTTTTGGGAGCAGAACGCAAATAAGGAAAAAAATGTATGAAGGCAGTCGATCGCTACGAGTGGTAGAGGGAAACAAGAAGTCGACTGCAGCAGAAGTTGTAAGCGGAGATGGCTCTAGGAGCACCTAGGAAGTCGAATCCATGCAGATAGAGAGATACGGGGCCTGCTTGAAATTTGTGTCTTGTAATTATAATAAGCGAAGTAAGTGGGGAAATAAGTGAGAAAATCATACTGATTGGTAGAAATCCTAACCTGCCGGGGATATTATCCCAAAATATGAGAAAAATATCTCAGAATAAAATAAAAAAAATTACAGAGAATGCATGAGAGTATATATGTAGAAATAACAAGTCTAGAAAGACTTCTTGTAATCTCATTCTAAAAAACATAGTGAATTTTTCTTCCCCTTATAATGGACGTACCTCTCGAATAAAAGGATAAGTCACTGTATATATGGGACGAGAATATATAAATCATAATATGATTAGCTTTCAGCTGATCGTATCAGGAGAAAGCTAGTAATTTGCTACTATTGTGTATGTTGCGTGTATGAAATAAAACAAGCATCTCAACTGCATGTAATAATAAAATAATCACGTCCTCAACGTAGTGTTTTATATGCTTATTATCATTATTTATACATGTTTGTATGATCTTTCCTTTTCTTTTCCATTTAATTTTTGCTTTATTATTATTTTGTTTGCAAAAAAAAAAAAGACGTTAAGAGCACTAGTACATTGTATTGGTCGGCAGTGGAGACCTTCAATTTCGTATATATATACACACACATACCAATCCACACTTGAATGATATGAAAACATTTTTCTCGCCTTCAAATAATTTATTGAATAAATATATAACCAGAAAGATTGGAAAATTAGGAACAACACATTTCAACAATGTTGGCATCTGTCAAAATACTCTATCAACAAATTACCAGATCATCTTTACTGATTTAGGAAAATAAAGAAGACATTAAAAATAGAACTTTAAATCCATAAGAGGGAGGGTATTATGCTGCTTCTAATAAATCTACAGATTGGCAAAGAACAGAGGGTGCGTACGTGAGTTTAAATCTACAGCCAGCAAAATCCTTTTGCAGTTACCACAAGAAAAAAAAAAAAAATTATATAGCTTTACTACATATAGAAAGCTCAAAATGACTTACTGTACACGACTAAAACTTCTTTTTTTTGATTTTATCTTTTCTCTTTTTTCCCAAGGTAAGATTTCCCTTTCAAAAGTTGAGAATCATAAACCTTTCCAATAATGAATTCACCGATCTTGTACCTGAACAATATTTTGATGGTGTTTTGGGCATGATACATGGAAGAAAGCTATAACTAGATTCTGTAACGGTGACAATAAATTGAGGATTCCACAATAATGTCGTAACGATCTCGTAAGGATAAAGAAATGTTCAAAGGCAATGATATCTCAAGTAATAACTTCGCAGGCGAGATTCCAAAGGAGATTGGAAAGCTTAATGCACTCAAAGGTCGGCTCAATTTTGCTAGGTATGTTTATTTCATGACTCAAGTTATATTGTTACAGTATTTTTTTTTACAAAAATTTAAATTTAATTTTTTTACTACAGTGTTTTTTCTCACATACACAACTCAAGTCATGTAACATTTAAAAGTTAATGTTATTACCTTGTTAAATTTTTGTTTGGTAAAGGTTATTGACACCCAAAATTTTTATTATGGCACCTTAACATATTTAAAAATTTAAATTATTCTCTTTTTCAAAATTAAATCCCTTATGGTTTCAAAAATACCCTTATATACGCCCCATACTTTTCAACTTTTAAAAATTGGTTACTTAAAAAGATTTACTTTTCCTTTATTTTTGGTGAGATATGATTCTTCCTATTTATGAATATATATATATATATATATATATTATCCTGAAACCGAATATTTACTAAGGGAGAAAATGAAAATGAAAATGAAAAGGAAAATGAAAACGGATTTCATCCGTTTTAAAAAAAATGAGTTTTTGGAAAAAAATTTAAAAACGTTTTTATTTTTTTATTTTGGTACGGATTCTTCCCAAACACATTTTTATTTCCCGTTTTCATTTGTTCTTCTGGAAAAACATTAAAAAGGAAAATGAGAATGGAAACAAACGGGCCCATTGTCATCTTCTCATTTCCCATTCACGCAAAAATTCTCAATGTGTTTCTTCCTTTTCATCCTATAAAATATAATTAAAAACCAAAAATAAAAACTAACAACTTCGATAAAACAAAACACAAGCAAGAAAGAAAAAAATCTATGCATTAAAACTTGATAAAACTTTCTCATTTTGCTCCATAAGTCCTTGGTGAATAGAAATTTTTTTTTTATTAAAGTTTGGGGAAAAAGATAGAGTAGATGATTGTTTCAATTTCGTTTAAGAAAATAGAAAACTCTCTGCATTTTAGATTTTCAACTTTAGAAATTACGCGGAGGAGAAAAGATTCAAACGGAAAGTTTTTTTTTTTTCAATACGTTTAAATGAAAATATTTAACAAAAAAAAGGAAAGTAAATCTCTTAAGAAACCGTTTTTTAAAAGTGAAGAAATATAGGGTGTATATAGAGGTATTTATGAATTATAGGGGATTTAATTTAAAAAATAATTAAAATAATTAAATATATTGGGGTGCCTTAATTAAATCTTGGGGTGTCAATAAAATTTCCCTTTTTGTTTTAATTGTTAGCCCGGCCACTGACGAAAAGTTACGACTCCATTGCTATCTTGTCTTGTTTCTCCATTGTTGAGAAACTCGAGCTATCTTAATGGTTAGATGTCTCCTTGAATGAGTTTTCCGGAGAATATTCCGTTACAATTTGTTAGTTTTCCAATCCTCACGCGTGGGCTGGACAATGGGCAATCGTGTGGGTAAATTAATTGAAAAGCTCAACACGTGAATATTTAAGTCCGAGATATATTAAAGACCCAACACGTGATGATAATTTAAATAGGGATAAAGAGTGTAATTACGGGGGTTTGAACTCAGGACCTCCCGCTCTGATACCATGTTAATTTACCAATTCATCCCAAAAACTTAAACTATTAGGAGGTGGGCCAACAATAATTTTATACTTTAACACAATTAACTCGAAATCTTACACCTTTTCAATAACAAATTGGCGGGAGAAATACCTCGCGGAAAGTAATTTGATACATTTTCAGTAGTATATATGAACGATTCATACGGTAGAAACGCGGGCTTATGTGGATTTCCCAAGTCTAAATCATGCAGCAATAATGAGGTAAAACAAGAGATCAAGGTGTGATGATCAAGAGCATACTAATGGAATGATTGATTTGGAAGGTGGTGATGCAATATGTGAAAGTGCTGTTAATGTGGCGACTTTATCCTAATATATATTCTTCATATATAACATGTAGTAATAGGAGCACTTTCTCCTATGAATTAACTTCATTACCACCAAAACCAATGTATAAAAAATTGATTAGTAAAATTAGATCACTGGTGATTAGTGATTCTCGTGATATTCGAGAATATATAGAAAGACTTATATGCATGTGACCATTTTCTGGAGTAATATATATTATCCAGCATAAGAAATTCAAAAATAAAAAATAAAAAAATTGAACCCGTTTCCAATGTTTGGTAGGCAGAAGTAGAACTGATCATCATAAACCCCATCTAATCCACGACCCTAGTTGTTGTTGTTATTGTTGTTATTATTATTGAATATGGCTCCTATTACATTCTACGGTTTCCAACCTAGTTATTACTTTGTAGTAAGATAATATTTTTCTTTTCTTTTTCGTGCTTACAAAGATTAAATTAGAAACTAAAAAGACAAATCAACTCGCGCTATACTTGTGGTACATTGTTGTCATCTAATTATGCCTTGCCTTGTTGCTAAAAGCCTCTATATTGCCGAACAATGTGTAAGCTAATGGGATATCCTTGTGCAAGTCATGTTTAAGTACTCTATAGTCTATTCCAGATAAGTTAAGGATTCACACACAAAAAGCAAAATGTCACTATATAAGTTTGACATAATCTTATTAAAGTGGGGGATTTTGTCAACATATAAATATATATATATATATATATTCTAATTAATATAATTAATAAATATTAGCCTCTATATTGCCGAACAATGTGTAAGCCAATGGAAATCCATGTACAACTCATGTTTAACTCTATAGTTTATTCCAGATAAGTTAAGGTTTCACACACAAAAAGCAAAATATCACTATATAAGTTTGACATAGTCTTATTAAAGTGGGGGGCTTTGTCAACATATAAACACACACACACACACACACACACACACATATATATATATATATATTCTTTGCCGTTGTCACTGGCCACCTTGCAACATTAATATTAATTAACATCTCATGAGCATCCCAGCTAGTTCTTTACAACTGTAAGTCCACTACATCACTACTATTCAATTAATTAACTAATTAGTACCAATACTAGCTAATTGATTTTATCGTGTTAATTGTTGAAAAATTTTAGTCGCTGAGAATGCAACTTCTTAATTATAGTAGCATATATAAATTAAGCGATCACTGTATCTGGTTAACTTATGACTAGTCTATGCGAAACCGTGCCTTTGGTTCTACCGGTACTACTGAAAAGCTAATATTGATTAATTAGCGATGAATCGTGTTTCTGAGCAGTTAATTGATAAGATCAAGAATATAATAAGAGAGTATTAATCACTACTCCTAATATTTTGAGAAGAAAGATTGTGAGAATATATTTTTACTTGTGCGAAACGTGATCAGCATTGACTAATCCACGTGCGAAAACGTGATCAGCGCGCTTGTAGATAGGAAGGAGACGATAATATTGATTAATTAGCGTACGTAGAATCATGCATGTTTCCAAGCAGATAATTAATTAATTGATAAGATCAAGAATAATATGAGAGAGCGCAACTTCTTGTAATAGCATAATAAATTAAGCGAATATTGAGATCAGCGCGCGCTTCTAATAGGAAGAAGACAATGGTGTTTTATTAATTAGCGTGGAATCACGTTTCTGAGCAGATAATTAAGAAATAAGATTTAAGAATATAGCATTAATTGTTACTCTTTGTTCTAAGAAGAAAGATAGAGAACATATAATTCAAATGAATGAACATGTTTTAATATTACAGTTCGTACTTATCAAAACGAGGAAAAATTGCAGTAAACAAATGATATTAAAAATTGGCATTAAAAAAAAAAGAAAGAAGAAAACGTGGTTTGGATTGGAGGTAGGTAGGATTCAAAAGCTCTCTATATATATACGCGATGAAATATCATGCATAAACCAACTTATTACTACGTATTATAATTTAATCAAGATGATGATCACCTTGGGCAGTACGACTGTTATTGTAATCTTGTCCCTTGGCTTGTTGCTTGGAACATCTGTGGCTGAACAATGTGGAACACAAGCAGGGGGTGCTCTGTGTCCGGAGGGGTATTGTTGTAGCAATTACGGATGGTGCGGCACCACCGACGCCTACTGTGCCCCCGGAAACTGCCAAAGCCAATGCCCCTCTCCTACTCCTCCACCACCACCGTCTCCACCGCCTCCACCGCCTTCACCACCTCCTCCCTATGTCCCGCCGCCTCCCCCTTCTCCCGACGACATCACCAATATCGTTTCTGAGTCCCTCTTCAATGAAATGCTTCTCCATCGAAACGATGATCCGAATTGTGCTGTAGGCTTCTACACTTACGACGGTTTCGTTACCGCCGCCAGACGTTACCCTGAGTTTGGTGCTACTGGCACTCTTGAAGATCGTAAGAGAGAGGTCGCGGCTTTCTTCGGCCAAACTTCTCATGAAACCACAGGTATGCAAGCGCGCGCGCGCGCGCGCACACACACACACACACATATATATATATAGTGTGCTTATGATCTAATTTTGTGCTATCTAGTGCATCACTCTCTCTGTTTTGACGCACGTGTAGGAGGATGGCCCGACGCACCAGGTGGTCCATACACTTGGGGATATTGCTATAATAGGGAGCTAGGAACCCCACCTGGCTATTGTGTTCCTAGCACTGAATGGCCTTGTGTTCCTGGTCAAGATTATTACGGCCGAGGACCCATCCAAATTAGTTAGTAAGTAGAAATCTAGAAATTGAATTAAGTAATAATTAAGTTATGGTAATTAGTTATTTACTTTTTTGAGAAATATCAGTTATTTTCTCTCATAATTGTTTGTTAAACAATTAGTTTTTGAAACATATCAGCAATTACAATTACGGGGTAGCAGGAGCCGCACTTGGATTTGACCTACTTCACAATCCCGATCTGGTTGCCACAAATGTCGTACTATCATTCGAGACGGCCTTATGGTTTTGGGTGACTGTACAGGCCCCCAAACCCTCATGCCACGATGTTATCACGGGCCAATGGACGCCAAGTCAAGCTGACAAAGATGCCAACCGACTTCCTGGCTACGGTTTACTCACCAACATCATCAATGGAGGTCGAGAATGCGGCAATACAGGTCCTGATGGTAAGCTGCAGGAAGATAGAATTGGCTTCTATCTGAGATACTGTCACTTGCTGGGAGTGAGCCCTGGGGATAACTTGGATTGCTATAATCAAAGGTCTTATGGGGTTACTCTTAGGAATCCAAAATATGGGATACTCAAAATGCCTGTCGACAAGGCATAATAATGTATATGGGACGAGAATAAATCATCATATTATTAGCTTTCTCATATCAACATAAAGCTAGTAATTTGCTATATATAACTATATATGTTGCGTGTATGTAATAAAATAAGCACTCCTCAACTGCTTGTAATAATAAAATAATAAGCACCTCAGCTTAGTGTAGTGTGCTTTTTATATGATTTGTAAAATAATATTAGCTATCTAATATCAAGGTTTTTTTTTTTTTTTTTTTTTTTTTTTTTTTTTTTTTTTTTTT